GCAGGCAGAGGCAGCAGGAGCGGTAGCAGGTAGAGAGCAGCAGGCGCAGGTAAATGTATGCACAGCACTGTGTGCCGCATGGTGGAGGGAGGATACGAGGCCCACGGACGGTGGACCAGCCGTGGGAAGCGTTTCAGGACGGAGCCCGTCCTGCAGCCAAGCTTGCGCGAGCGGCTCTGGCGCACACACACACGCACACACACGCACACACACACACACACACAGACAAGGGACGAGCGCGCGAACCGGCGGCGCTGGCCTGCAGGGCGACCGGGTGGCCCGGCTGGGAGTTGGGCAGGGCAGAGGGCGCTGGCCATGGCGGGCTGAGACGGGAGGGCGGGGGATTAGTTATTGGAATGGGGGATGGATGGGGAATATTGGACGGGGGCGGACGCGCGCTGGGGCGAGGGCAGGGCTGGCAAGGGCTGGCAATGACGCGGCGGAGCATTTGGCGGACCGACAAGCTTCCAGAAGGCTTAGGTGCTTCGACGGCGGTGCTGTTGAAGGCGCGGGTGGGGACTTGCCCACTGCAGACTGGCGCACTGGCCCGCCCTGCTCGTTCCGTCTCGAGTAACCCAATCACCGCGCCACGCCTGCATCAATCCTCTCCTCGCTCTGCCCTTGCACCCTCTCCCACGCCCACGCCCATATACCACCCTCACCATCCTCCCGCGACCACCCATGCCGCTCCCACTGCAGCCCCTTCTGCGAGTGCGCTGCATGCGACACTGACGCCCACCACCACCACCCCCTGCGTCGCCTCTTGCGCCTGCCAGAGCCCTCTCTCGCTGACACGCCAAAGCAGCCCTCTCCCGTCTACACGACCACGTCCCATCTCCTCTGCCCTGCTGCCCTACTACCACCACCACCACCACTAGTCCTGCCACTACCACCACCACCACCACCACTGCCACCACCACCACCACAACAACAACAACAACAACCACACCCACTCTCGTTTCCACCCGTCCACGACGCCGCCCTCCGTGTCCGCTGCTCCTCCCACCTTTTGCATACTTTCTGTCCCGCCCTCCTACGCCGACGCGCCTGCTCTCCACGTCTGCCCTCGTCCTGCCCGCTCCCGCTCCCGCTCCCACACACGACACGAGACCAACTGCCAGGCACCGCCCGAGCCGCCTCCTCCGCGCCTGCCTTCCTCGTTGTCGCATTCGCCATCAGCGCCCTCCTTGTCCTGTTGTAAACAATTACCCAGTCCCCGTGTCGTGTGCGCTCCCTGCCGCTCGCGACTCCGCTAGCATCCCTGGGGCTTCCCATCGACGTCGCTGTTTCAGACTGCATCTCGGACCACCAGGCGCATTGCCACCATCTCGTTTGTCCAATCCCCCCACGCTGCTAGACCTGTTGCATCGTTTGCATCCGTCCTGCGCTCACTGTCTTGCGACCCCGACGCTGTCTCTCTCCCCCCAACTTTCCAACCTCAACCCACCACCCCCCCCTCTCCACCCCCATTTTGCGACATCACCATCTCGCCCTCCCCTCTGCGCTGGAGACCAGTGCTGGCTGGTCGCCGCACATAGGCGGAGAAAATGGACCATGGCGCGTGCAACGTAGTCTACATTGACCGGCGGGCCAACGACGAGCATGTGCGCAAAGAGAACCTGTCCAAGTCGCTTGTCGCCCGGACGAGCACTGGAAATGTAGGCCAGAGCTACTTCGCCATGGGCAAGACGTCCCCGCGCGAGGTCCACGACAATGTCGAAGCCATGCTGTCCATCTCCACCGAAGGTACGACGAGAGCGCAATTCGCCCAACATGGCCATGACTACCGCCCTACTAACAACCTCGTCCAGTACACATCTGTAGCACAGGCCGGGCCTGTCTCCAGAAGATCAACCAACTTATTGATGACACCAAGACCGCCATCCCTACCTTTGTCATAATAGATATTCCCTTTGATGAAGAGCAGCGCATGAAACGCCTATCTCGCGAACCACGCACGCCCTCGCCCACGTCGTCGCGCATGAACCGCATGGACACTGCCGAACCAGACGACATCTACGCCATGCACCTGCTCACTCACATTGCTTCGGAGATATCGTCCCGCAATTTCTCCAAACTCGTCGTCCCCGTAGTCATGCTGTCAGGAGTCACGCTGGACGAACCATCGACATCTGGTCCGCTCCCTTCGCCCGGTCTCCACATGTCATTTCCGCTTGGTGATACCGTCCGATTAACGCGCTATCTCGATGCCGGCGCTGTCGACGTGCTGACTAGTCCCATGTCACGAGAACGTATGCTTGGCTTGGCTGTCCACGCCTATCGGCTACAAAAAGAGTTCAACCGGGAAGAAGCAAGTTTTCTGACCACTAAGCGCAATCGGAAGCTGTCTTGGGTCGGCGTCGACGATGCGAAACCGTATGCTTATCTGCGTGAGGCCATGGTCTCGAATCTGATGACTGGCATTTGCAATCCAGAAACCGTGGGAGATTCTCTCGACTCCATGTGCGTATGCGCTGCGGCATGATAAAGGTGTATGGCTAATCATCCTAGGGACTTTCATCTCGACTACGACCGCAAGGTACTCGTGGAAAACGCAGTGGGCGTCTGGGCATTTTCGGCTCATGACTTTACTGACGATGAGCTGCTCTATGGCGCTTTGGTAATGCTCAAGCACGCGTTGCAGATGCCCGAGCTGGAGCGATGGGCAATCACCGAAGGCACGTGCGCATTGCATTTCACTGTGCCGCTTTCCTGCTAACAGGTTGCTAGACGAGATGATTGTCTTCCTTTTGGCCAGTCGTACGGCATATAACGAGTTCGTCAAGTACCATAACTTCCGCCATGTTGTCGATGTCCTCCAGGCTCTTTTCCACTTCCTCGTCCGAATAGGCACCCTACCTATGTACCCACCCGACACACGCAACGTATCTGCCCCCAAGTCGCCGATAGCCTCGCTTCTCAAGCCGTTCGATGCGCTCACGCTGCTGATTTCTGCCATTGGACACGATGTTGGCCACCCCGGTGTGAATAATGCCTTCCTAGTTGCATTAAATGCACCATTGGCGCAACTTTACAACGATCGTTCCGTCCTAGAATCATTCCATTGCGCCGCTTATTCCCAGATTCTACGGCGATACTGGCCAAGTGCTTTCTCCGACACCGCAATGCGCAAGTTGATGATCAACAACATTCTTGCAACAGATATGGGTCTCCATTTCAAGTATATGAGCGATTTGGGCAACCTGCAACAAAAAGTTGCTCACGACCAAGGAGCTGTGGACGGTTGGAGTGCCAAGGTTCAAGAAGAGCAAAAAGATCTGACCTGTGGTTTGCTCATAAAATGTGCCGATATTTGCAATGTGGTGAGTTTTTTCTTTTCTGGAGCGCATGCCCCGCAACCCATCCTAATCTAGATTCTGTAGGCGCGAAAATTCTCAACCGCTGCTAAATGGGCCAACATCCTCACAGACGAATTCAGCAATCAAGGACTCATGGAAGCGGAACTCGAGATGCCCTCATGTCTTTTTGGAGGGCCACCGGTGCGCGAAGACATTGTTAAGCTCGCTGAGTCGCAAATCGGATTTATGAATATATTCGCCAGGCCGTTATTCGAGGCCGTCACGGACATTCTACCCGCTATGCAATTCGTCGTCGACGAGATTCTGACCAACAAGGCTATTTGGGAAAATAGAATAGACGAGGAGCGGCAAAAAAAGAGAAAGAACAAGAATATGAACCTTGGTCTGCTGACATCAGGATTTTCTGTCGATCCAACCCCGAGCCCACTTTCAGGAGGACCAAACAAGTCGCCCTTGAAGATACCCCTGAGTGCGATCAAGACCATCTCGCCTGAAGAAGCGGCTCGCCGAGGATCAACTGGCTCAATACAAGCGGTAGCCGCAGCATCCGACTCAAGAAGATCATCCATCGTCGACAGGAGCTCACGGCGGTCGTCCACTACACCTGTACCGGGTCAAAGGCCCATGGGCTCTAGCGAAAACGTGACCTCGTCCAGAAGGGGCAGCCGGGACCCAAGTCTTACAGCGATTTTGGTCACCCAAACTCCAAATGGATCTGATCAGGCTACAAAGGGGCAAGGTACAGGTCCCGATGATCGCTCAAGGGCGGATCGCAAGGACACTTTGACAAGACCTTCTTCAATGATCAAGGATAGAGATAGCCCCAGACCTGTCACGGCTCCATCGCATGCCAGGCGCAGTCAAGGTGAGTTTGAAAGATGAATTTCAATTCTACAAAGCCGTGCAAATCTAACATTGCAAAAGCTCTCGATCCTTATCCAATAAAACAACCATCGCCTCAGAGCCACTCCCAGGTTGATCTGTCTCATAGTGAGAACGGAAACCTTGATGGCTCAAAGCTTCAGCCCTGGGACACTAACAATAAGCTGAGCGCAGATAGCAACGCAGCCCGTTCCGACGTCTCGCGCGACTCAAGCTGGTGGCGGCAAATGGGTTCACGGCGACGTACTCGCGATGGGAGGAATGGCGAAATGGAAGCACGAACTCATGTCAAGGAATCTACACCAGAGTCTCTGGTTCCTCCAAACGCCGATTCGCCCACCGTGTCGCCCACCTGTTCAAGCCCCGGTAGGAAAACCACAACAACGGGCAAGATCATGAGCTTTTTTAAACGAAAGCCAAACAGCCAAAGGGAGCAGCCAGAGAAGCAATTGTCTAGTTTTGGCAGTTCTTCACAGTTGCGAACCCCACAGACCAGCGACCCAGGCCGATCACTCAACAGCGATGATTGATTTCAGCATTCCTTTTCGACGCCTCTATTGACCTTACATTAATGACAAACGCCGCATCCGAACCACGGTATTTCCTTTAGTCTCAACATACCATTTCAAAAGCAGTTCTTGGTCTCTGCAGCACTTGCTTTTCGGGTTTTCTTCGTCTCTGGCAATTGCGGGCTATGATACCTCTTACACGCGATGTGGCAGGTGCCAGCAATAAGTATGGATAACACCACTTGTTTCTAGCCTTCCCTTGGTCTACCTCTGGGTGTTTTCTGGTGCATCATCGTCCACGTTCTGATTCGGCGCGCGCATTCCTGGCACAGCATCTTTCAAGCTTGTCTTTTTCCCGCACCTTCACTCGTCTCGCTTCATTTTGTATTCTCCTTTGTCAATTATCTTTCATCTTGGTGTGCGGCGCTTTAGCTGAGCAGCATGCATTATTCGAGGCAGCAACCATTTGTTTTCCTTTCTTTTCTTTTTCCAAGGCCTCCATATTGAGGGAGGGCTAGTCGTGTTGCTCTATCGGCGGCAAGAATCGGTCGCATATGTTTACGCGGCTTCCTTGTTTTTACGGGTAGAAGATATCAGGCATGGGGTCAGCATTTTGGGGCTGACAGAAGAACGATGTTGTTGCAGCAGTCGGAATGGTAGAACTGGGGCGAGGGCACCCGAATCGGCTCCTTCCTTACCTCCTCTGGGAGAAGGTGCCATGTCTACTATCCTAAGCTCATTGGTATCGCTCAGCGAAATGACGATAAACTCTCTGTAATGAAATGTATATTCTCAATGTCTCAACTCATACAATTGCACACATATATACACACACACTACGTTGCTAGTTGTCTGTGACAAAAGGAGGAAAAGGTCTTGCAGCATCCCGTGCCCGTTAAACAAATACGATCTCTCGTATTCGGATCCTCACATACGACAACGCATCGGCGGACACCGATGTCCTTTATCGTGGTCACGAGCTACTGTCACAAAAGTGGTCCTTGTAAGTCTTAGCTACCTATTCCAGGCTAGCGCATCTAGCATAGTCCGGCGCTAAACCCCACTTGCTACCTTAACAACACCACCCCTCAACTCCAGCTTTGCATTGACCGCTCATCTTCTCTCATAAACTACATTACAACCATGGATGACAAAGTAAAGTATCTCCTCTCGCTCAGTGCGGTACGGGACCGCTCAAAGATTGTGGGAGAGGCAGCCGCAGCTGGAAAGCTGAGTCATTTTGATGTACACGAAGAGCGATTGGGCGAGGCTGCAGATTATGTGACATCTGTCATCAAGGTTTGTTTTGAAGAATTCGTCGTTTTGAATCTACTGTGATTGCTGATGTTGTGTATCTAAAGCGCGATTATGGCCCAGACAAGTTCCATACTATTCCCCCACACGGCCGATGGCAGCATTTTGAAGTCGGCAACGTTCCCCGCATATCCACGCTTCTTGAGGAATGGAAAAAGGACGGATCTGAAGACTTGGAGATTACACGCCGACTGATCGATTTGTTTTTTGTTTCGGTACTGTTGGATGCTGGAGCGGGTGACCACTGGCGATATGTGGAGCCAGGAACGGAGCGCGAGTACGAACGCAGTGAGGGAATCGCAGTTGCCAGTCTGTACATGTTCAAGAGCTTGAGTTTTGCTGCTGCCAAAAACGAGAAGCAGCCAATTGTGGATGGTCAGTATCAGATTCGACACTGGACTACTCGCTATGGAATGAATGGCTGACCGATTTGTGTACAGGAAGAGGCCTGCAAGATTTGAAGACAGAAGAACTTGCAAATGGCTTCCAGATTACAGACAAGAACCCGATGTTGGGTGTCGAATCTCGTGCCAACCTCCTTCGTAGCCTTGGAAAATCACTCTTATCTCACCCCGAGGTCTTTGGCCAAGAAGGTCGTCCCGGAAATGTTGTCGGTACGCGCTATTCTCCGCTTACTACATGCCCCTATTATACTCACCAACCACAATACAGATTTCATGAAGAAGTCTTCCGACTCTTCAACCTTGGACGTACTCGTATTCTGGGACATTCTCCAGAAGCTACTCATTCCCATCTGGCCACAAGACCGTACAAACGTCAGCGGTCAACCTCTTGGCGACGCGTGGCCCCTGTCTACCCTGAAGACCCAATCATCTTCGCCAAGTGCTGATGAAACCGACTTCATTCAGCCGTTCCACAAACTAACACAGTGGCTTGCTTACTCTCTCATGGTGCCATTCACACGTATCCTCTCACTACAGTGGAAGAACGCGTCTTCGCTTACTGCTTTGCCCGAGTACCGTAACGGCGGCCTATTCGTTGATCTCGGAGTCTTGACACTTAAGCCTGCTTCTCTCGAGCGCGGCATCAAAGCCTCATCCGATGGCACTGGACTTCCAGCTTTCAGTGCAGGTGACGATGTCATCGTTGAATGGCGCGCCATGACTCTGGTCTTGGTAGACAAGCTGTACAAGCTAGTCTTGCAGCGCATGGAAGGAGTGGATCTCAGCATGGCGCAGTTGCTGGAAGCCGGCACCTGGAAGTCTGGCAGAGAAGTTGCCAAGGAGAAGAGGCCTGCGACAAAGAGTAGCCCGATTATCATCCTGAGTGATGGTACTGTGTTCTAGAGATACGGCTTTAAGAACAGAAAAAAAAACTTGAAGTCTTGAATATTGAAATTCCACTACCAAGTGCCCCTGAAAAATTGTTCGTCTTCTTCTTCTTCTTCTTCTTCTTCTTCTTCTTCTTCTTCTTCTTCTTCGTCTCCTTGCTTCCTTTCAAGACCAAAAAGTCCCTGAAGATTTACAGATTACAAAAAAAAAACTCCCCGTCGCGCTTCCCACATACACACACAAAAATATCCTACACATACGCTGGTTAAACGAGATTGAACGTAACCAAAGTAAAGGGGAAGAAAAGAAAAAAGAAAAAAAAAACACCTCAGCATCTTCATCTCCGCGTCTCCACCCTCTGCGTATCCATTTCCCCCCTCCTTTCCGCCATATCATCCAAAATCTCAATAAATCCCAAACCCTGGGGCGTCGCCCGCCCTCTACTCGCCATCTGCTGCTCCTCTTCGCGACCATCGCCGCCATCGCCCTCGCTCTCCCTCCTCACCTCACCCAGCGTGTGCTCCCGCCACACCGGCATGACCCTGGCGTCCTCGGCAGCGCGCGGCTCCCCAACGGCAACCCCGATCATGTCGGCCTCTTCATGCGGATGCTCGTACTGCGTAGCCAAGTCGACCTTTTCTTTGTTATCGTCCCAGCTCCACTTCCTGCTCGCGGGGCTGACGACGGCGGTGCTGCTGCCGCTGAGCTCGGGGCTCGCGGGGGAGCCTGAGTCGAGCTCGTTGCGGGGTTCGTCGCCTGAGAGCTCAGAGGGTCCGCGCGCGTGGCTGTACATGCTTTTGTGGGTGCGGAATTGGGCCGGGGTTTGGGGGGTGGTGGGGGTGGAGATGGGGAGTTCTTGGGGTGTGGTGTAGTTGTGGGCTGCTACTGAGGGGTCGTAGTTGTGCTGGTACGTGTGGGTGGTCGAGGGGTTGTAGAAGCCGTTTGGATGGTTGGGGTTGGGAGAGGTGTAGGAAGGAGGTGCTGTGTGGGTGTTTCTGTTAGTATTGAATCTGAGAGTGAAAGGGGATTTGGATCAAGTGAAGAATGTTTTTTTTTTCGACTTACAATCAGAACTTTGATTACGGTAGTGCTTATTGTGGAACTCGCTCATGCCGTTGACGGGTAATCCGTCTCCGTTTGTTTCGCCATAGTGCTCGGCTGCTTTTGCTTTTGCCTTCTTCTTCCTTCGTAGACATAACCACCATACGATAATGCCGATTATAGCAGCTATGGCGAATGCGCCGCCTGCTGCGCCGCCTGCTATAGCCCCTACTGGTACGCCGTCATCCGATTTTTTTGCTTCAGCAGATGGACCTGAGGTGCTGGAAGTTGTCGCAGACCCAGTAGCATGATATGCGCTGCGCAAGTCATCACGGTTCAAGATTGCGGGTTCGAGATCACCGTCGGGACAGCCAGATTGGGCACATGGATTCGTTTTGCAGCAGCCCCAAAATGTTTCTAATGCACGTCAGTCATCGCCATGGCGTGCGGGAAAGAAGACCGATACCAAGATCGGCGGATCATCTCAAGTACTTACGTCCGGCAGTGCAGGTATAAAACTTGCTTCCAGTCCCGCATGTAGCATCGGGAAATGTGCCATATGCTTTTGGATCGAAAGCACCTGGGTAAAGGTTGCCTTGGGCGCAAGTGATGTCGCATGGGTCTCTTGCGCAGCAGCCGACAAAGTATCTAACAATTATATTAGACGCTAGTAGAGTATGGAAGTAGAGATGAATATGGACAATCCACTTACGTTCCATACCCACAGGCCCACCAGGTTCCTCCTGAAGGACATGACGGCGAGAAAGCCTGTCGCGCTGCAAGGTAGGCTGACATATTATACTAACAACCGACTCCGCGGTCGCAAATAGAGTATCCGCTAACACTTGCGTGGACTCGAAACCCTCCACTCACAATCACGTCAATAGCAACAAAAATGATACCGTCACTCGAAAAAGGAGCGAACAGGAATAAGGTACCGATTAGACAGAGAAAGAAAGAAAGTCAGATGCAAGAGACTGCAAGAAAGTATGGCTGGCCGGGTCTCACAACCGAGAGAAAATCAGGCGACCAGACCTACAGCCCATGTATCTCAGCGGAAGGAAGCTGGGAAGGGAAACAAACGAGGGAAATCACGTCAAGAAAAAAAAAACACGAGAGCTGATCGAGACCGCCCCTCCCTCCCCCAAGAGGCCATAATAGCCGCAGCGAAACAAAGCCGCAGCAACTATGCAAAGCGCAGGCCCAGCCTGTGTGCCCAGCTCCTAGTACTATCTACGCTTTCTCTTCCTTCGCCTCTTCAGCAGATCCCCAAAGCGGTAAACTAACGCCCTAATCTTTGCGGCGCAGCCACGCACACCTACATGCACATACTACAAAGGAAAAAAAAACAAAAAAAACGGCGATTTAAATCTTTTGCACCAGGACAAGAAAACGACCAGCTTTCGGGCGGCCGACATACACACATACAGAGAGCGAGCGAGAGCACATTGCCCATACATGTTCAAAGTACCGCCCATCCCCAAGCCCCAGCCTCTCTCTCCCCATTCGCACCGCAAGGGAACAGCCAACCTAGGCACATTTGGCGTGCAGGATAACCTCAGCACTAACGTCGAAGGATGCAGCCGCTCATTCGTGCGATGCCGCAGCCCGGAACAACATCTCTTGGGGGCTGAAAAAAACCCCCCCAAGAGCGGGACAATCCTCCCCAAGCTTGCATATCTCGCGGCGCTACGTGCGGGAAACAAAAGAACCAAGGAAAACAAAAGGAAGAGGAAAGAACGTTGGGAAAAAAAAATTGTGTATTTTGCATTATTTACCCAAGGGGTAAAGTTGGGGCAGTAGTTAAGTAGTTGGTAGTAAGGAAAAGAAAAAAAGTTGAAAAGGATTGGATTGGAGGCACAAAAAGAGGGCGGGGGGAGCGAGAGAGAGAGCGAGAGAGAGAGAGCTCTTTTAGGTGGGTTTAGTGAGATTGAATGGAAGCACATACCCCGCATTGGGTGTTAGTGGATATCTGGTCGGTGGCGGCCGCAGTCAGGTGGTACACATTACGTAGAAAAGCTGACGGGCGGCGGCGTCTATTCCTGGTGGTTTGTGAGGGAGGTAAGAGTCGGAGGTTACATCATTTTGTCGGTTGCAAACCGCCACCCCCCCCCCTTCCCCCGAGGGCAGCCTCGTCTTATATTACCAAGACTTTCTCTCTCTCTTTTCTCGGCGGCCCAGGTATCCTGGATTGTGCGTTGGGCTGACAGGGGCAGAAAAGGAAGAGTTACAGTAGTAGGTACATATGCATATGTATGAATCTTTCTGGATTCTCGGGATTACTATTTCTGTTGTTTTTGGACTGGGTATATATACAGGTAAATGGAAGCTAAGTAAGTAAGGGTATGTGAGGATGAAAAACCACCCAAATGCGAATAAGACAATGCGAAGAAATGTTAACGCGCCGAATCCCAGCTAAATAGCTCCTTACAATCACTCTTCTCACTGTTGACCAGTCGAAACACCAAGCCCTTGACGGCTAGCTCGTTTCGCCATGTCGCCGGAGAATTCTTGTTGTGTAGGCAGTGGAGAAACGAATGGACTGGCATATGGTGACTCGAGTTCTGAAGGGCCAGGGCGGGCTGTGGCATCTGCAGGAAGTTCTGAGAATCGTCGGTTGTCCATGACATTTGAAGCGCCAGCTGGAAGCTCAGAGAATCTGTTATGGGACGAGGAAGAATCCGCAGGGAGCTCTTGTGGCTCGGTTGCGTGGCTGGCGTACTGATGGTACGACTCATGTCCCTTGCCGGGCGAGGTGGCCTGGTAAGAATTCTGGATTGGAGCCGAGTATGTAGGAGGTGCTGCTTTCAAAGTTAGCCGGTGAAGTAGGACAAGAAGCGAGTGACTCGACATACGTGATTGACCTCCGTAATGCCCTGCGGCAGCACTGTGGTTGTTCTTCTCATTGCTGTTCATCATAGGCATCATGGTGGCAGCACCCATGTCGCCTTCTGTTGTCTTCTTGTTCTTCCTTTTACGGAGCACAATGAAGATGATGATTCCGATAATGGCCAAAACTACGACTCCTCCGATAACACCACCGACAATAGCGCCCGTGTTACTCTTCCCTGAATCTGAAGCGTTCTCCTTTTTGTCCTGTGTTACGTATGCGTTGAATTGCTCTGGTCGCTCCATGAATGCAGGTACCAAGTCTCCTTGCGCACATGTTGCTGGTGGAGTTGCAGCACAGGGATTCGACTTGCAGCATCCCCAGAAACTGTCGCCTGCATTACACGTAAAGAAGTCGCTAGCACTTCCGCAGGATGCATCAGGCCATTCACCATGGTGGGAGATATTGTAGCCGCCGGGTCGAATATTCCCTTGCACGCAACCATTCGAGCATGGGTCCGACGTGCAGCATCCTACGAAATTACTACCACTGGCACAGGCATACCTGGAGTTTGTCAGTGTCAAAATTTTCATCAAAGTTGAGCTCAGTTGTTACCATTTGCCCCCGAGTGGGCAGTGAAAATCGAAAAAGGAAGCATTAGACATGATAGGCGCACAAAGTATAATACAGAATGTGCCTTTGGTTTGCGCCGACTGCGCTTGTGTTTATTGAAGTTTACTAAGTGGAAACAAAGAGAAGAAACTACGGCCAAAGCGACAGCAAGTACAACAGGGAGACGGCCGATGTGATAAAGAATAGGGCGAAGCAGGTAATTCAAAGAGGAACAGCACACGGAAGATGTGGGCCCCCTCAAGTATCCAGGCATGCAGAGTGAACGCCTGAACGGGGCGTAACTTCGTCTGCACGGCCTTGGGAAGGCGCCGATTGCGCCACGCACCAACCGAAGCCTGCGCATGACCTAATGTAGGCTAATTGTCTCTTTTCTCCATGGTGGCTGGTAGGGACTGTGATATTTTGGTATCTTGTGAGAAGCTTGGCCGCGTAGTTGATGCTGAAAGCTGAGCGAAAGCAGCCGAAGGAGCAACATCCCTGGTAACCGACCCGTACCTCGAGGCAATAGATGATCTGGGCAACTGAGCCTCAGCACAGCCCTTTTTTTTCCCTATTTCAGAGACAACACCACAGGTGGACAAGGGAAAGTCTAGGCGATGCCCCAGTTTACTGTACGCCTGGGGCGCCTGCTTAGAACAAAGGACCACTAAACAGTAGCCCATTGTCTTCTTTCCTTCTCTTTGCTATACATGTATTGACACTTGTCTCGGCACCAGCCAGGCGAAGATATGCAGTGTTGGGGGCTAACGGACGGGTGGAGACGACATGTCATTTAGTGGCGTTCTTAATCGAAATGACAACAAAGATACTTACGTCTTGGGCGGAAGGGGGCCGTTTCTCAATAGCCATACGGGCTATACCCACAACCGCCCCGCCCTATGTCAGCACGAACCAATGTTACCCCGAGGGGGTCTTGGGAAAATAAGGCTGAAAACATCAGGAGAATCGCCACTCGGAGACGAATATCGGCCATGAGCTTCGGCGAGGACAGATGGGATAGATACAGTAGCACCTTCGCCGATGTAGCGGTCAATCTGGGCTGTGTGTTCAGCCGCAGTGAGCTCTTGGCAGTCGTGATGCGCAGCTAAAGTGTCTAGACAATCCACGGCTGAGGCGGTAAGGCGCCGGTATTCTTCGAAGCCCGCACTTGTGCGGAATCACAAGACTATTGAAATCTCGGGCCATGCCATTGTGGGCTTGGACTTACTTGGATGCACAGAAATCACAGATGGCTGGTTTTGTGAAGCCTCTTAAACCCATCTGTGCTGAAATGGTGCGCTTTGCTCCCTTAGCAGCTCCCACAGTCATGACGGAGCGATACGCCCAAAACACAGCCCACGACGAAGACAGACTTGCGCCAACAACAAACTGACTAGATGCGACTTTCTGGACATTGACCACGCAGGCACCCGGCCGCGCACGCAACGGCGAACAGTAATCCAAATACGTCTGTCTGGAAGGATCGCATTTCGAGTCGGTCTGCATTGACAACCTCTTGTCTGTTTCAAGGCGGCCATGTAAACAAAGCCACCTGTGCGCTTTGCGTTCCGGTCACTGGTAATGGCCAAAAACGCAGCTGCTCTGGCAACCGGCTGCCACGCTGTGATGACGGAATTGTTGAACTAGAGGGCCGGGGTGCGCTGAACTCTCTTTGCACTGACGGTAGAGCAGACCCAGGTGGACGGCGACGAAAGGATGAGCGTACTTGTATCCAGGCAGGCAGGAGATCACGAGGCAGATGCATGGCTGTCGACCATGGCGGCGTGGTGCAAACCACTGGAACGTATGCAAAAGAAACGAGGAACAGGAGATGACAAGGCTGCTCGTGCCAGCAGCTCGTGAAGATGGGGCGCGGCCAGAGAGAAGCTTGGACGCGTCAGGGCAGTGGCTAGCGCATCACCGCCGCGGGGAAGGGCACGATTGACAACACAGCAGACATACCGCAACCTCAGTTCAGGGCCGCGAATAACAAGCTGTAGATAAAAGGAACTTGTTTCTTTGCTCGCTTGCTCTCCCCTAGTTTTGCATTTGCGCCGTACCAAGAATATTGGTGACGGCGGTGATGAGACACGCCTGCCCAACCTCCCCAGCCCCCCGCCACACATCCGGATCCCGATAGTTGCACCCAGCCATCTCGAGTAGAAAACTTGTCGCCGCCCAGCTGCTGCATGCGCTCACAATGCAAACATTCCTTCGTGACTCCACCTGACTAGTCCACCCAAGAAGACATGAGTGGGGAGCCTGGATTCCAACTCAAGCAGACAAACGGTATGCATGCAGCTTGATCCCGCCTCATTACTCACCACCCACCCATTTACTCATCCCATTGCCAGTTTCTCAGCCCCAATTGTCCCACCAAAACTCGCAGCAGAGCGTTGCTGCTTCACTGACTGCCTCCGAAGGCTACTACAGCGCCTCCGAGCACGCGTCCAGCTCAAGTGAGGAGAGGAGGCCTGTCTACCAAACACCACCCTCATACCGCCAAACACCAGCACAAAGTCATGAGCAATTGATCCCTCACACCGACGTCCCCACAACATCACTACGCGGTGTTGGTATCCCCAGGCAACAGCTCCAGCCTCAGCAGCCTTCCTTTGTTCACGAACGCCCTCAGTCACCCGCAGTATCCACCATTGCCGAGGAGTCGAGGCCAGGAACCCAACACGCACGCCGATCCCAGCTGATCCACGACATGGAGACCGAATCGCAGGCGACTACTCCAGGCCATGATACCACACCATACATTCGCTTCGCCATCGACCAGCTCACCCGAGACGAAGATGTCCGAGGCTCCAGAATATATCCACAGGTCCGACCCGTAGTCGCAGCCCAAGATGATGATGACGACGACTACCCCGTCGAGAGAATCATTCCTGACAATGGCCTGGGATACATGGCACTGGAGCAACAGACACAGGACAGAATGCAACAGCACAAGCCCGCACGCAAGTCGTTGAGACACTCATATACACCACTAGCCACGGCACCGGCACCCATGGCTACACAGCCAGACGGAACCCATCACAAATCCCACAAGTACAGGGAACAGCAATCGCCTTCTCCTACTCGAGGACAAAAGGATGTTTTCGTAGCACACTCGCAGCCACACTCATCCCTTCACTTCTTGCCCGCCGTCCTTCGCCCGCTGTCGCTCGGCCTGTTCATTTTCCTTTGCCTGCTCATGCTCGCTGCGCTCATCTTCGCCGCTGTCTACTCCAACCGCAATCAAGGTTACGGACTGTGGGATTACGGTGCTTTTGGCGACACTCGCTACTTTGTTTTCCGATATCTCCCAGCCCTGCTGGGAATGCTCCTATTCCTGTGGCTCATCCAGATCCAGGCAGCCCTTCAACGCATTGTTCCATTCATATCCATGTCTTCAGACTCGTTCCATCGAAGATCCGAAGCTGTGTTTCTTCGACTCTACCCGATGCAGTTCATTTTGCCAAATATCCAGCATTTCCGCGCCGGATATCCCGGTATCTGTGCCTTTTACGTCATTTCATGGTTATTCGCATGGACGGTCCCTCTTCTTGCTTCCAGTTTCAACGTACGATACAACGTGGCACGCTCCGCTTGGCGATGGGTCGCTGTACAAGGTGTCATCTGGACAGTCGTTGTTCTCTACATCCTTCTGCTCCTCGTCCTGATCTACCTCATGGTCTTCCTCATGCGCAGCCCGACTGGATTGAAATGGGACCCGCGATCGCTCGCAGACATCATCACTCTTCTGGAGCGCTCGAACAACCTAGGAGATTACAACAACTCGGAGACTTTCGACAAGAGTGACTGGAACAATGTTGCTAACCGTGCTGACCGCCTTGGCTACTGGACTACTACGAAGCGACCGAGCGACGTGTTCTACGGCATTGGAGAAGAAGGCGCTGAGATTCGGAGATTCCAGGTCGAGGAGGGACGCATCAGGGAGCAAGGACCAGAGCGCGCAAATCTTGACGTGGCTCAGGGCAACGACTTTTCGATCCGCATGGATATTCGCAGCCCGAACGTGCGACTTCGCTACTTGCCTTGGTGGCTGAAGGACGGTTCGGTCATTGCCTGGATCGTCATCGCCTGCATCCTGTTGATCGCCTTCTATGTCGTCAGCTTTGTGAACGATGCTGTTCGCCTCGGTTTCCTGCCTCGAGTCTTCGCTCGTACAGGCGCCGATGGTTTCTCTGCCTCGAACTTCCTGTTCTCGTTTGTTCCAGCAGTCATCGGCCAATTCCTCTTCTTAGCACTCTTGTCGCTCGACTACTCTATTCGCGTACTTCAGCCATACATGGCACTCGCATCCAAAGGCGGAGCCACTGCCGAAACTTCTTTGTTGGTCGATTACGCCTGCCGCTTGCCTTTCTCAGCAACACTGGCTGCGCTCGAGAACAAGCATTTCCAAACAGCAGTCCTATCCTTCGTCTCATTCGCATCTATGGCCCTGCCTATCCTAGCAGGAGGCTGCTTCTGGACCCAGTACTACGGCGACGTGAGAAACGTCCGCGTCGCCGCCGAACTCCCCGGCTACTACGCCCTCTGCTTCTTCCTCGCCCTCTACACCGTCAGCCTCTTCGCCCTCATCCCCGGTCGCCGCCGAGCCGCACTCCCCCACCGCAGCAACACGCTCTGCGAGATCATCAGCTGGGTCTACCAATCCCCCATTCTCACCGACCGCGCCTTCGCCCACCCCCAAACTAAACCCGATCTCGTTGCCCGCCTCATGGGCACCACCTACGCCGAGCGCACCTGGGCCCGCTCGGTCGCTTCTCTCGTCCGCCCCTCCCGCAGCAACCTCCGACCCGACTCACCTACGGACCCTGCGCTGAAAGAGAAGGCGAGAAAAGAAGGTCAACACGATTCTCTCGTCGATCCGGGTCAAATCAGATACGGCTTCGGCATCCACGTCGGCCGTGACGGCCTCGAACACCTCGGCATTGATCGCGTTCGCCGTGGCGGCGATCGAAGTGGTCGCGAACTCGTTATCTGGGAGGAACAGCAGCAGGACCATAAAAGGAACAGTTGGACGAGTCAGGTGTGAAGGGATCCGCTTGTCTTTTGCCCACTTTTTTACGAAACCGCTCCATCCAACGGCGCAAAATCGGCAGTTATGATGGCTTGCTGATCGACAAACACTTTTTTTGATGGATTTAGCATTGGTGTTATGGGTGTCTTTTTTTTACACATTTGCATCGTAGCCTTGGAATCCTTTCCCCCTTTTTTTCTTCTCTTCAAAGGATTCATGGCTCTGGGTTGGCGTTATCTTTTTTTTTTCATTTTGGTCAGTCCAACGCTGTTTGACTGCATTTGCGATGTAACTGTACGAATTTTCTTAATGATGCACATGGTGGAGGATATGAAAATATGAGCTTTTGTTATAGACAGATGGATGGATGGATGAAAGGAAGCAAGGGAGCCAAGTTTGAATGTGTGTACATGAGCGAGGCGTCATTGCCGATATATGATAGATATGCATGGAATGAAGGGATGAGATGACATGGAAAAATCATCACTGATTTGATTTGTTTTACATTGCATACTGTGATTTGAGTGCATTTCAAATGGACTTTGGATATTTATTCAAGCATGCTCGACGAACAGAGAAAACAGGGGATATTTGCATTGCATGCTTTATTTCTTCTCATCAAGTCTACGCTACAGCAACAGGAGCAGCACCAGCATCGACCCCTGTAAGCCTACTAATCTCCAACTCGCCATCACCTCCCAAATTATCAAGCCCGTGGAAGCCCTCTTCGACTACCCATCGCTGCTCATACTTCATAAGCACTTTACAAGCGTTACCCACGACAAGGAGTCCAGGGGGTCTACTTCCCTCCTCCTCAACAGCCGCACAAACATGTTCGAGCGTCGTGCGTATGACCCTCTGATCGGGACACGAAGCGCGTTCGAGCACAGCGACAGGGAGATCTGCAGGATATGCTTTTGTAACTAGGCTATCGACGAGAGCAGATAGGCGGTGGAGCGACATGAGCAGCACGAGTGTGCGGGAAGCAACGAATTCCGGGGGATCGAGCGGAGCACCTTTCCTGCCCGTGCCTGTGCAGATGAGTACTTGGTCTGCGATGCCGCGGTGCGTGGCGGGTATGGCGGCGAAAAGGGGTGCGCTGAGTGCACTTGTGATGCCTGGGAGTACGCTGGGGATGAAACCGTGTGCGCGGAAGAAGTCGTATTCTTCTCCTCCCCGACCGTAGATGTATGGATCACCTTGCTTTATCCGTACGACCACTTTGCCAGCTTTCAGCCCCTCCAATCCCATTTCTAGGAGTTCTTCTTGTGCTTTGTCTGCATTACCGGGGAACTTTCGTGCAATGTGCACGGTTGCGCGGCGGGGTACGAGATCGAGGATGGGTGCGGGGACGAGTTTGTCGGCAAGGATGAGATCAGCAGAGAGGATGGCTTTGTGTGCGGCGCGAGTAAGGAGATCTGGGTTTCCGGGACCAGAGCCTGCGAGAATGATGCGGCCTACTCGTTGTGGTGCAGTGGCTGTGGGACCGACTTTGGAGGGGCTGCTGCTGGCGAATTCGCGGAAGAGCATATTTACATCTGCATCCGTGATGCTTGCAAGGCGACGCAGTGGCCAGTACTCGCATATCTGCGTGAGCCAACGCATCCGTCGGCCCCGTGCTGCTTCCTTACTCTCTTCCAGAATCAACTTGTTGAAAGTCGCTGGTTGCCCACTATCCTCCTCCTCGGCCTCCAGATCTTGTGAGAGTTCGGCTGCATGATCTTCTTCCCATATGCGTCTTCGCAGTGCACCCAATCTCTCGACCGCATCACCTAGACGTGGTGGGAGAGATGCGGCAATCTCTCTCCGGATTCTTGCAGAGAGTTTGCAACCTTTTCCAGAAGTAGTGATACCAATCTGAAGAGGGCCGTCGGTATGTGTGGAGAGGAGTGTGAAGGAGCATAGGTTCGGGGCATCAGCGACGTTGACTGGTATGCGCAGTCTTCGGCAGAGATTCGAGATCTGGGTGGCTGTGGCGAGTTAGAGGACGAAACTGTGCAGAGTATACTGTCACCACCTACCCGATCCATTCTTTCCGCCAGAGGTAACAAATACAGCGTCTACTACACCATCCACCTCAGGACGTCCAAGGGTAGTCAAATCCTCATCTTGGAAACTCCGCTTTAACCATTGTACTTCGCCAGCCTCAATACGTTTCGCAAGGCCGTAGTGAAGGGTGGCGTCTTCGGGCGCAAGCAATATTGGTTTCGCACCAACTTCTATTGAGCGTGTGCATCGCGCGCCGGCAAGTGGGTTGGATCCGACTATAAGATGGATGTGCGATGTCGCATCGACTGCAGTGAGAAGTGCAGGCGCCATTATGGAGATTGGAGTGATGCAAAAAAATACAAGGTCCAATTCCAACAAGGAGAGGTAATTGTTTTATGGGCAAAGATAATACTGAATACGATTACTCCTCGGCCGCAGAATTGATAATGGGCATAGCGAATTGTTGTTCCGATAGCGACGAGCCGATATGGCGCGATCGCACTAGTGACATCCCCGCGGAAAAAGAAGGATTCTGAGTGGCATACTGACCCAATCGCCGATGGTGCAATTGGCTGCTATCATATTTGCGCGGAGTTAGTCCATTTGCTCGTCTCGACCCATTACAATGTTGAGGGCCTTTCGGCTGAGCATGACTGTATGCCCAAGTGCGTTGAGTTTTGCTGAGGCGGATATCAAGGCTGGATCTTGGCTTTCGACGCGGATTTTCTCCTTGACACGGACCTCGCGATTCTTGTACGTGAAGGTACGGTCGGCCTCGTCGTGTGTAGGCGCTCGTGTGCCACCGAGGGCTGATGCAAATGTGTTGCGGATGCTGAACCCAGTGAGAGACCCGCTATCCCCCGCATTATGGGGCTCTAGTGTGCGGATTTCGAGAACGAGGGCAGCGTCGAAGACGAACAGATGAAAGGATACGTTTGCCGGCAACGGAGGATCAAACGTCTATCGCAGTCAGTAAAGTCCTTAGTCTGTACAGATATGCAGCGTACGTTTTCGTCGACGGGATTATCCCACCACGAGGGCTGTACAGGCGAGTGGCCTTTGAGAGCAGCCTGTGCCTCGATTATGTGGTCGTGTAGCAGTTGGAGTTGACCCGAGACGAATTGGGCGTTGGTCGCGTCTCCTCCCCAAGTAGCGACATCGATGGCGTCTAGACAGCTGTTGATGGAGGTTCGTACTGAAGTAAGCTGAGGGACAACGAGTGTAGGTGCATGCGGTGCAGAGGAGATGACGAGGTCCCAGGTCAACGAGCCCTTTGGCGGTGGGAGGCTTGCGAGGCGGAGCTTGATGTTCTGGGGACAGTGAGTACGTGCTCGAGTATACATCAACGACCAGGCCATGACCTACGCCTTTGGTGATGCGCGTGCCGATGCGCGTAATGAGGCCCTTGAGGCTCTCTGAGCGCACAGAGGTCAACACCAGTGTAGATCCATTCTCAGAAGGCGCAAGCAGGGCAGCACACTCGTCGAGGCCGGCCTTGAGCGACTGTAGTGTCTCGCGCAGCTGGACAAGCAGCCACTCGAGCTCGCGCGCTTGCGATGCCGCCTGTTCCTGGGCAAGACGGTCCTCGTCGATGGGCGGCCACATCGCGGTGGACATGACGGCGGTGAGTTTCCAAGGCAGGTCACAGCATCCACCCGCACACACGCAAGAGACAGATGCAGCAAAGCAGCAAGGCAGGATTCCGTCTTGGTCAGCCACGCAGGCGCGATGGGCGGGCGCAGAGTCGACGCAGCAGATCTCGCTTCTATCCGCGCAAGGCCCGGATCCCTGCCCTGAACCAGACCCTCCTTCTTGCAGCCGGGCGCAACCTTCTAACACGTCTGCATCCTCCACTGGCCACTACATACTTTTACTACCGCTGCGCATACACACGAACGGTTCCATCTGTCGTCGTACTCCCATCCGAACCATGGTCCCTTTTTCCTTGCTGTGTGCCTCGGGATGATGCAAAGCGCGTTAATAGTGTCGTAACCTAGTGAGGTCACGAAGCTAGCCACGACGCCAGAGAGCCGACCCTCCCACACCAGCATACGTCATGGCTTGGCCGGACTTCTTAAACCAGCTCTCCCAGACCCTTTCAAGTGCACATGTTCGCTGTTCATCTCCAGTAATAATATAGGCCCTTGTGCAACCCTGTCAACCATTGCTGGCACTGTCCTCTCTGTCACAGCTCTACAGTTGGATATCCTCCTCTTCCACCATGGCAGGCCCGGCTAGTACGCAGTCCCGCTCTTTTCCGCCGTCACCTATGCGCTGACTTGCAAAACAGGACCCTTGCTCGCCATTGCTTCGCTGGTCCTCGTTGCTGCTGGCCTTCTCTTCCAGTTCTTGACCATCCTGACTGGCGGCGTCAACAAGTCCCCTCTCGACAGGTTCTACTTCCTCGAAGCCTCCACAAACGGCATCCCCAACGCCCGCAACCCCTCTCGATGGACGTTCTTTGCCATTTGCGGTGAAAACCCAAGCAATGGACGCAATGCAAACTGTGGCTCGCCTGTTCCTGCTCTTCCCTTCGACCCACCAAGGAACTTTGGCACAGAGCAAAACATTCCTGATGCATTCCTCGGCACGAAGCAGTACTTTTATCTATCTCGCTTATGTTTGCCTTCTACCTAATTGCTCTCTTCTTCGCTGCCGTTGCCCTGCTCTCGGGTCTCCTGGCTCTTTTCAGTCGTCTTGGAGGATACCTGTCATCTCTTATGACCTCCATTGCCCTCTTCTTCCAAGCCCTCGCTGCTGCTCTCATGACGTAAGTTTTCTGTAGACTACCAGCGCTTGAAAAATGCTAATAATCACTAGCGCATGGGTTGTCAAAGGTCGCGATGGGTTCCGGTCCGCCGGCTTCGAAGCCCGTATCGGCCGTTACCTTATGGGATTTACGTGGGCTGCTGTAGCTTGTTTCTTCTTAGCTACCGTCATGTTCTGCCTCGGTGGCCATCTTGGTGGTGACAGCTCTTCGAGGATGCGCCGCAACCGTTCCACAAAGTCAACCCGCAGCCGCGGAAGTTTTTTAGACACTGATTCCCAGCGCAGGGTCAAGAGCGACTACTCTGTATAGACCAAGAACTAATGAGGAGGGAGACAGGACCCCGAGGTGTTGTCCTGCAGCAACTGTCTTTTCTGCAACGATATCCACGATTTAATTCAATATACATGTACAAGTATAGTTACTCTTGTATTAGCGAGAAACCACATAATGCCACTACACACTAGCTTAATGATGACCATAATCCCATACAAAACCAATAAATTCATTTGCGGATCGGTATTTTCAATTCCTTTCCTCACTAAATGTCCACTTCTGCTTTGCTCATGCAGTCTTACCTGTAAGCTTCTCATATGCCTCCCGATACTTCGCCGCAGTCTTCTCCACCACGTCAGCCGGAACTTCAACTCCCTCCTTACCCTTCAACCCATTACTTGTCAGCCAATCCCTCAGAAACTGCTTGTCGAAGCTTGGTTGCGCCTTGCCAAGATTCTGCTCCCAAGTGTCCTTTGGCCAAAACCTCGAGCTATCCGGTGTCAGAACCTCGTCAACCAGTACCACCTCGCCCTTTTCATCGATACCAAACTCGAACTTCGTATCAGCAAGGATAATTCCCACTTCCTCTGCGCGAGACGCAGCAGCAGTGTAGATAGCCAACGAAAGCTCCTCGACCTTGCTTGCAACCTTCTCGTTTCCAATCATCTCCCTCGCCTTCTCAGGGCTGATGTTCTCATCTTTGCCGCCAACCTCAGCCTTTGTACTCGGCGTCCAAAGTGGCTGTGGCAACTTTTGTCCTTCAATCAACCCCTCTGGCATCTTGATGCCATTGACGGTTCCAGACTTGGTGTACTCTGACCACCCAGATCCCGTGATATAACCACGGACAATAGACTCAATGGGCAGAATCTGCAGACGGCGGACTTGCATGCTGCGATCCTTGAGCTCTGCCTGGCTTTCAATTGCTGAGGGAAGATCATTGGTGATGAAGTGCGTTTTCAGTCCAGGCACTTTGGTTGGTAGGTAGTTGAACCAGTAAATGGACATTGCTGTCAGTAGAGCGCCTTTTCCTGGGATTCCCTAACCATCTCATCAACATCAATCATTTTTTTGATAAACCTTTGGGTTCTTTTGGAAACTCACATTTTCCATAATCACGTCATACGCTGATATGCGGTCGCTAGCGACGAAGAGCAGGGTATCATTATCAATCGCATACAGATCGCGCACTTTTCCCGATGCGACTTTTGGCAGCTTGCCTTGAATGTCGATGTTGGTGACGGCTTTGGAAGACATCTTTGGCTGTCTTTGTCAAGGGCGTTGAATTGAGTTGCTGGAGTGACTGGAAAGGAAGTTTATGCATGAGTATTTTATGCCCTACATGAGCAATTGGCGGGGCGAGTGTGGCGCAGGCGTTGTGGCGTCCGGTAAGCAAAGCGCCTGATCCTGAGAACTTTACAAGACCGTTTGTTCTGATTCAAAGAATCTCGGTCAAAAAATTCCATCTGATTCGTCTGCTTATATCAGGAAAAATTAAAATATAGCTTTGGCTTCGCCTTTGAACTCTCTCCTCCACAGAGAAACTACGTCAGCTGAATCAGGCACGGCGCGTAGATATCATCACACCAAGCGCTATTCGGCAGCCTAGCCCCATAACCACACCTCCCTCAAACATTCCTCCATCACTTCTACACCCCTGTAGGTCCATATTATCATCTCCACATGTCTTCGGTTCAATTCACGGCACTGATACGCCTTCCGTTTATTCGGGGCGACTTTGAAGATCCGCCACAGGCAAGTTGCCCCTGTTTGCCTTTTGAAGGCATCATCTGACCATTACCTAGGCACAATGGGATGCCGAGAAGGATCGGCAACTCTGGAAAGTTATATCCAAGTCGTCAAAGACCAGTGATTTGAACTGTGAGTATACTGTGATATTCATCGTGACCCATACACTAACATGATATAGGGGTTGAGTTGTACGCATATGCATCGTGAATGAAATGATAGCCTTGCTTACTTCATCGTAGAGCGGACAAGTTCCAGGTTCCGCCCACCTTTCTTCTGCAGCAAGCAGCATGGTTGTACGAAAGGCATCTTGATCATGTTCGAAACCAGATGAAGAAGGTCAGCATCACAAATGCTGTTCCGTCATCACCTACTGTCGGCAGTACCATGACTGCTGTGGGTGGTGTGGCCATGCGAAGAGGCGGCAGCGCCGGGTCTGGGGGTACGATCTATTCCCACAATAGTGTCCGTAACTAACCATAAGTAGCTGGAAGGACACCTTCTGCATTGGCTGGGCGTTCGAGAGAAAGCCCTAGTTTGCGTAACGCAGAGGTGGCGACCCCCGGTAAGCATCTCAGATGATAGCCTGTAGGGGATTTTAAGAGATAAGGCTTTTAACAAAAATCAGCTCCTTCTCTTTCGAGAACACCCTCTACGACTACAATCACTCAATCTCGAGCACATGCTCAGGCACCTGCCCGAACACTGTCTACTCGGTCTACTCAGCGTCCCAATCTGACAAGCCGCAAGTCAGAGGAAAGGACTCAAGCCTCAAACTTGCCTCACCCAAGTTACCGAAATGATGATGATATCTCACCCGAGATCCCAGAATCATCGTCTTCGAGTTCGTCCTCTCTGTCGGATGCGGACCATCCAGTTCACCGCAGTCAACTGTTTAAGAGACCTCCTCGTTTCCAACAGAAGCGCCCGCGAGATCTTGCTACGTTTGATGAGGGTGATGGTGTGCAGGAGTTTGATGAGTCTGGTTCTCATGAGACGAGTTTGCCCTTTGCGTCCGCAGCAAGAACGCAGCCAAGTAGCAGCAAATTTACACAGGATGCACAGTTTCGCGGTAGTACTAAACCAGAGCAAAAGGCTGTACTTCCCCATCGCTCCAGGACTGATCCGCCATCCAGACAAAAATCAATTGATGTACAGTCCCTTACTACTGAGACAGCATCGTCGATGACGAGCTCAGGAGGGCCTCCATCGGCAGCGAAGAGTCCTATGAGTCCACCTTTAGGTCATCGTGCAGCGTTAGGTCGGCTTGGTAGTCCAAGGAGTGGTGGACCACGATCTAGAAAAGAAGGCAGTGAAGGCACTCCCAGTATGGGAAGTAGCTTTAGTGATATTGATGGTGAGTTCTGAATTCGACTGTAGATTGACACAAGCTTATTTCGAGCAGATGCTGGAATTAGTCAGTCGGCTCTCGAGGAAGCGCTGCTAAGCAACATGCAACATGGGCGAATGAGCACATTGAGTCGCATGTCGAAGTGGTAGGCAACGACGTATTAGGGATTGGAAAGTCTTGGCGACCGTAACGGAGTTTGGTTTATACAAAGAATACTATCACCACTCACTGTAGCTGTGGTATTGTTTGTAATTCAGTTTCACCTTTTTAATAATCGTCATAGCCATCTAGCCTTGGCATCAACTCACCACCTCACATTGATGGCTTGCCAAACACCACATTTCTACAGGTTCTCTTTGTCACATTAACTCAACTGACCAACACAGCCGTCATGGAGCGAGGAATATTGCTTCCAAGAATCATCATCTCAGATTACACGATTACGCCCCCGATAGCAACATCATACCACGCGATCAAAGCTTTTCAACCACAGAAAGAGGACACCATATTCTTTGGCCAAACTTATAAGCTCACAAAATCTCTCCTCACACACCCTCGTTGCCTGCACCGCCGCGGCGCCTCCACTTGGCCCTGTCGACCTTGTGAAATAGCTTTCACAAGCAATTACTGGACTTGTGCCGCCCTGCTCCTAGACTATTATGCCGACTTTTATGCCCACGATAGCGCGCTCATGCAAGCAATATGGTTTCACCTTTTTGACATATGGCAGGAAAGCGCAGCATGGCTCATCGACGATACGTTATCAGAAGTCAGAGCACAGCAACAGAACAGTACAGCAGAGACGGACACACCGAGGCTGCGTGCAGACCGCGTCCGATGTGCAGCAAAAGCTCGAACATTTGTAAAAAACGTCAAAGACACAGTTGAACTCGTCGAAGTAGTCCTCTGGGGTCGAAAACAAGGCACCAACACCGCCGCCGCCGCGCATCCCACACAAGAAACCATCCTTTACGACCCGCGAGGCGAGGCATGGCATCCCAGCGGTGAATACGACACCGGGCCATGGATCAGCGGCATAAAGCCGTGGTGTCAATTCCTATACAACGGCGGACCAGGCGTAGCGCCTCTTCCTCTCCCTGCCAGTTTCGCAAAGCAACAAAAAAACCCCAATCCCAACCGCAGTAGTCATACAAATGGAAACCCGGACAATAGCAACCAAACAACAACAACAACAACAACAACCCGCTACATCCCCCACTCCGCCATCGCAATCCTAACCTCGCACACCCAGCGCGCCCGCACCCTAGCTTCCACGCACTACACCACCGCTCTCGCCCCCGTGGAAACCCACCTCTCCCGCCTCAAAGAATTCGATGCGTATGCCCCTGTTTTCCCAACCCCAAGACACCCAGTACATACGTGTACGTCGCCGCTGACGGGCCACACGGTGTCGTACGCGCTGGGCAACGGCGCGCCGCCCGTGCTGCGGCATGTAGGGTTTGCGGACCCGGAGATGATGGATGAGCGGGCGGACTGGGCGTTGCTGGATGAGTGTGTGGCTATTTGTAAGGGGTTGGATCCATATTTGGGGGTTAGTGGGGAGATGATGGGGGGTGCAGGAGGGGAGGCGGAGGAAGAAGAGGCGGCGTTTGATGTGTGGACTGTGGTTACGACGGCAGTGGATGGGAAGGGCAGGAAGGGAGGAGATGTGGAGTTGGGTCCATTGTTTGATAACTGGTGTGGGATTAAGGAGTGTGAACTTGATTCTTTCCGGTCATGCAAATGAGGTCCAAAGGGGAGAATGGTCACGGTATGTGTACATGCTGAAGCCTCGACAGGATCAATAAACAATATTTTGTCTTTCATTTCTCTTTCTGGGAAAAAATCTACACTAGCTAAATGCCCTTTACTATCCAAGCTACCTAATAACCAAAATACCACGCAAATATACAATACCAATCAAAAACAATATACATAGTTCCACTTAAGCTACACACACACAAGCCATTTCGCACGCTAGATTCCCTTCATTTCAAACGCCCATAGCTCATATGTTAATCTTTTATCGCAGCAGAGCTTTCCCTTTCCATCTCCAAGAAAAATAAAATGCAAATAAACAATAAAACACACAACATACATAAATAATTCCAATACCCGAAATCCCATCTCCAACCTAGAAGCCCTAAAAATAACAAAACAAAAAAAAACGCTGCATGCCAAAATATGAGCTTTACGAATGTTTCTTCTTCCCTCGCGCATATCAAGAGAAAAAAAAGGAACAGATAACAAACTCCGGTGTAATGCGATGTCATAAGCAGATCATAGCAGTCAACCCGGGATAACGCCATGCTTCATGCTGTGGAGGACCAAAATCCCCCCAAATAAATATCACTAATCTGCCGGGAGAACAAACGAGATAATGAGGGTACGAAAAGAACATATACGAAGCGAAGGTGGTTTTAGAAAAGAAACCTTCCCTTCAGAGTATGTGATGGGATCAGGTTATCGTAGCAGTCAAGTGTCGACAGGGGGTTTCATTATACCCTACGTGCTCCGAAGAGACTCAAGTTGATTGCGGTCTCATTCCCAGTAGGATTGCCTGAGCTCTCGGCCAGGATTTCCCATCTTGGCTGAACGAAAGGATAGTGTCGGATTTCCTTCTCTTGCTTCAACTGCAGTTTTCCAGGCGCCTGCATGACACCCTGGCCCTGGCTCGCTGTAGGGGCCGGGCGTTGTGAATACACAGGCGAAGGTTGCATGGCGCGCTGTTGCATCTGCTGCATCTGCTGCATTTGTGAGAGCGGTGATGGGGTAGCCTGGCCTGAAGGTGTTCGCTGGAGCTGGGCGGGGAGCATCTTGTTTTGTGGATGCTGTGAGTATTGCTGCATGTTGCGCGTTTGTTGTGCTTGCTGGGCTGCCTGCATCTGCTGCTGTCGTTGCTGTTGCTGGCTCGAGTACCGTTGTTGGGGCGTCGAAGATCCTGTGGCCTGCGCTTGTGGATTTTGGTAGGGTGTTGGCTGTCCTTGCAGTGGTGTAGGTGTCGGTGGTTGTGACGAGCTTTGATTTGGAGGAGCGTTGACAGGTCTTGCAAGCACGAGCCAACCATCAACAGGCGCTGTCACCCCAAGAATAAAGACGCAACGTGAATCATTCGCGAGTCGAGCACCATCCAGCCGGGTGACATGGAACCGGACATCGTCAGAGATGTAATCTGAGAGAAATACCGTAACGTCAAACACATGTTCAGTGATTGTAGGATACAGTTCCAAAGTGGGGTGAGTGAGTAGGGCTGCCATTGCACTCATGATAGCCGTCTGGTACGGATGCGTAGCATTGCTAATCATCGTCGAAGCGTGAGACACTGCCAATCGGAGTAGAGCCGTCAGCCAAGCGTAGAAGTCCAACACTGAGAGCTTGTTGTCATCAAGGGCTTGAGTCATCCCTTTGAGCCTCTCAACCAAAGCTTGAAGCAGGCCAGATTGCTCCATATTTTCAGCGCCCTTGCTAGGAGTTAGATCGATGACGGCGAGGAACTTCTGGACAGTCTTGGGCGAAACAATCTCCGTCTCTTCTGGTTTGGTAGTCGACATTGCAGTCAGGAAGGCGGAAGCGTTGATAATCTCACGCTCTGCATTCTGTCGTATCTGCCCTGTCAGCGAAGCGTCTAAACTCGCAAGAAGCTCTAGTCCAGATGGTCGGTCCTCCTCCACTGCTGCTCTGATGGCATTGAGAAGGGTAGCAGATAGCGCCTCACTGGGGCCCTCAGACGCGTTCGCTCGGGAAGAGAAGATTCGTTCAATGGCCGCCTGACAAATGGGCAATGACAGCTCGCTAGCAAGTGAAAATACCGCGGCCACCTGCTGTTCAGGAGGTTTTTGAGATAAACCTAAATGGTCGTTTGGATCAAGAAGGGTATCTAGTGACTGATTCAAGCAATCACCCGAAACGTCTTTACTTAGCTTACTCAGACATCCTGGATCGGTAGCGATGTGAGTATTCAAAATTGATAGCACCGGCCTACTACGCAGCAAGCTTGCAAGCTGTGTTTGAGTTTTGTGCGAAGAGATTATTGAGCCAAGCCCAATCAGCTCACCTAGACACTGCATGAAACGCCCTTCAGTCTCTAAGCATAGCTTTCGCTGCTCGAGGCGGTATCGATACGCATCTTGGGGTGAGCATGACTGAGCTAGTGCATCGGACGGCAGGATAATGTGCATACCCTTCAGCGCGCTCTGGAAGCAACCTTCAGATGGGCTTGTCTTGAACCTTGCAACGCAAGCTCGCAAAGTTTCCAGGAAAGAAGTCAGAGCAACACAGCCAGAGCCAGCTAGGGTGGGCAGAGCCACTCGCAAGCTGTCGGTTCTTTGAGCCATCAAGCTTGAAGCCAGCCATTCATTCACAACAATATCAAACGTTGGTTCATCGAAACAGCGGAGTCGATGGAACCAGCCATGATGACTGTTCAGATGCACAGAACCCTTGCCTGAATGCTCTTCTATGTTGCTTACAATCTTGCGGAGTACTCGACCCATCATCTGCTGGTCCATACTGGTACCGCTAGAAAGGATACGCTCAATTTCGTCATCAGAGGAGGATCCTGTCTGCATAACTTCACCCATGTTATCAGAGGCAGGCGAGCAGGCAATAGTGTTACGCTGGCTGAGTTGGCTCAAGTCATAGCTGAGAAGCTGTGGAAGCTGTCCATCAGTTTGGGCGGTGCGAGCTAGACTAGCAAGGCTGAGCAGGAGCTCGCGATCGGGGAATCGGATTGTTCGCAAAGCGGCATATCTCGCTGTAACTCTGGCAAATAGAGGATCGAAAGCACCTATGGCACGGAAAGCTTTGGCGTGGTAGTTAATCGTATCCGCAGTGGAGGCAAGAACACTGGAATCCAATGATGAAGTCGCGATACCAACAACGTCCGCAAGTATAGCGAGATCTCCAAAACGTTCAAGGTAGGACCTTACAATATGGAAATCCAACGCCGTTAGCAGAGACACTGCAGCAGTCTCTTCTCCTGGTGCATCTTTGGTAGGGACACTATCGACAGTTAGCGAACTACCGTGCGTGTTAATAAAAGGCCTTACTGCTCGTTGACTTCTGCATACTGAGCGACTTGTCGACGTAACCAGATACCTAGCTCAAACTTCACGGTCGGACTGAGCTTGTCTAGCTCAACTTCGTTCACGTCCGTCGTGGAACTATAGAGCCCAAACAAACTAGGTAAAGTCTGAGATATCATATGTTTGGCGTAGGTAAGGGCTCTTTGCTCCGATTCTGCAGAGTGTACTGTCCCACGAAGGAGGGTGCTTCGTAGGGTGCGAATCTGATCAGGTAGGCCAGTAAGGGGTATCTCGGTGACTAGACGCAGTGGCCAGGAGCCAGGCTGGAGACGGATCAGAGTAGACTCATCACGCTGATGAAGGCGACTTACCACAGAGAGATCTGCACCATGCCCTACGGATCCAGTAGCAATAAGCCATTGGAGGTAGCGTCCGAGCGCAAATGTTTTGGAACGAACCAGTTCTGCGACAACCTTGAAAAGAAGGCTAGGATCGCCTGTTGCAACCCATGTCATTTCACGCAAATACGAAACAATGCCATCATACACATCGGCCCCGAGATGGTTCCACCGCCGAAGTAACCGAGTCGCCAGATACACCCTATGTGCACCTTCTCGATAGTACGTGCAAGTCCAGCGGAGGAGAACACCGATTAGGCGGGGTGCATCTCCAATAACCTCCATGCAGTCGTAGGACAAGTCTTCAATGCGGACTGGCCTATTGTAGTCAACAGAGTCTAAGATGCGATAGACTCGACCGGCGGGTGTTTGTGAAGCGAATGATGGTTTCTGGGGAGACTTTAACAGCCTGCAATTTCGCTGCTCAAGTCTCCGGATGGCTTGGGTGACGTGTGCATGGTTTCGCCTCTCTGCAAGTTTCTGGAGAAGAGGACTGTACTGCGCCCATGATGTCGGGAGTAGTAAACATGCTGGTCGTGTTGCAAGTAGTCTGACAACGGTGTTTTCCAGATATTGCAAGACAGCCATATAAGGACCTTGTTCCTCTAGTCGATAGATCCTGTCAAGTTGGTTGAGCAACGACTCAGCAAGACGCTTGCCGCGTCGGCGGCAGCACGTAACGTCCGCCCAGTAGTGAGAAATGGAAACAACCAACAGCCAGATGAAAAGACGCTCCGAAGCACACGTGTCTAAGCCATTGACTATCCAGTCGAGAAAATGGTCGTCGTCCAAAAGGTGTTCCTTGTAGAGATGGGTGGCCAGTTGAAGGGCATACGTGATTCGTGGTTTCCAATCGCCTTGTCCTATTCCACCAATAACACCATCTATAAATTGCTCCACGGAACTGGTCCAGCCTCTTCCCCACGTCACAGTACCAGCCTGTCCCTTTCTCTTGTGAGCGCGCAGCTCATTGATACCCACGCACTTGGCCAGCCACAAGGCTCGTGGAAGCGGTATGTTCTTGTTGAGACATTGTTCCAGCAGCACCTTACCAGTGAGTCCATGGGGTATGGTGCGGCTGAGGCGACGGAGGCCGGTGGTCGGATTTGCCAGATCGTGCAGCCACTGCTCACGAGTGGAATCTCTAAGTGTTAGTCGGGGTGGGGGCTTGAAGGTGTTGGGGGCCTGTAAGCGGCCAGTCTGTTGCCTCTTCTCCAGGACGGCCACGAACAGGGTGGATAGCGTACTGAGGCCGGATTTGTTTTTGAGGTTGTTTATCAGCGAGGGCCGAGCAGTATTGGACTCGTTCATGATCTGAGGCTTATTGCTGACGCCCACCTTGACAAGCGCCTCGGACAAGTTATCCTCGGCACTATTACCAGTCCACGGGAACACATCGGCAGCCTTACCACCGGGAAAATGGACGGGGGGCGCGACGGCTTCAGACGCGCCTGGCTTTGGAGTGTCCTTGACTCCGGAGCCGCCGGGCCAGATGCGACGCTGCTGAGATGCATCTCTTAGATGTATTGAGCCCGGGCGTGGGGGTAGGGGCAGGTTCGCGGTTGGCTGATAAGGGAAGGCGTGTATAGGCATGTCGAGTGCGTAGTTGGGCATGGCGGTATAGAAGAGCGGCGGGCGTCCCCGCGGGGGAGGGCGCGCAGCATCGGGTGCAGCATTGTGTGTGGGAGGGCGGTCGTCTTCCAGGGCTGGGTCGATGCAGTCGGGCTGGACAAGCGTTGAGATGGGCTTGGTCGGCCGACGCTGCACCTGGGACCGAGGAGGCAGGCCGCTACCACGATTCTGAAGAGATTCGTGAATCCCCGGGCCAGGTCGAGAAGTCATCGCACAGGGGGCGACTTCATTGTTGAATCAGGCGCATGCAGATGGGCAAAGGGAGGGTGCCGGGGCTGCGAGGGCTGGGCGGGCTGAGAGGCAGGTGTAGTAGATGTATAGATGCAGATGCAGGTGCAGATGGGAGCAGCAACAGCAGGGCGACGGGGACATGTGCTCGCAACTCTGGCCAGCACCACACGGGGGAGAGGTGGTGGTCGGGAGATGAGGAGGGTGGACGGGGCCGAAGAATGGACGACGTGAGGCGTGTCGGCTAGTGGGCAGTCTAGAGGAGGATGTTGCCAGTCCAGCAGCGGAGACGATGATCCGGTGCTACGATGGAGCGAGGCAGGCATGGGGGGGCGACGGCGACGGCGACGGGCCTAGTGCTATCAGGCAATCCCGGCCTCGCTCCCAGCCCACGACCACGACGACGCCCATCACACTCGTCTTACGTCCACCAGTCTCCACCACGGTAGATAAATCGGCCAACAGCCCACACCGCCGGCCCCCCCAATCTCGACCATGGCTTCGAAAAAAGATATGCGCCGCGCCGACCTCAGTACGTGACGACGCGCCCGCCCGCCCTGGCTCTGGCTGTGCCAACGCCCCCGTCATAGGGGCTCAACATCGTGTGTCTGGTCACGTGGCTAACATGGCTGTGCAGTCGTGCCCTATGCCGAGCCTGAGAAGAGCAAAGATGAAGGCGACATGTCGAGTGAGCAGCGCCCTGCCGTCTCGCGCTGACGGCTCTGTCCTGTCGACGCGCACCCTGCTAATCTGATGGCGACTTCGCAGGCACGCTGTCGAGCACGCTGCCCATGGCTGCTGTAAGTGACGCTGCCCTAGCCGCCACCATGCTGCACGCTGATATAGTTCCCCCCAGATCTTCACGCGCAACAAGTACGCACTGCCCCAACGTGTTGATGTCTAGCGACTCCCGCGCAATTGCAATGGCCATGACGACTGACGTGGAACGGTGCTGCACAGGATGATCGGCTGGTGAGTCGTCTGCCTTGAGCGTGTGTGTGCGACGTTGCATGACTGACGCAGTGCAGGGTTGCCGTAGTCTTTGCTATCCAGGCTTGGCTGGCTGAGACGGCCGAGCAGAGGAAGACGTCGACTACGCCTGCTTACTTCCAGGTCGGCATGTCTAGTATGCATGCTCCCATCCCAAGTACAGTCGGCTCCCGTGCTAATTCACTCGCAGTCATGTCACTCCTCGTCGTAAGACGCTCTCCCCCGCATACTCCCTAATTACCGAGATAATGTTGATGCTGACGCTGTGCCACAGACGTACTCGTCCATGTTCCTCCCCCCGCCGCCTGCTCGTCCCGGCCAGGCGTCAGGCACCGAGGCCTTTGCTGCCGTGCCCCCTTCGTAGGTGGCAGTACGAGGATAGATTGTCTGTAGCCGGTGCCAAGGTAGCAGCTGTACCATGCAAACTGTATAATCCAATCTTGGCCGCGAGCATGCGACGATGCCTGTCGGCTGGCTGCCAACGACCAATGTCTTGCGCCATCGACGGTTCGTGTGTTGCCGCGTCGCCCCGTGTCACTCGCACCCTTGCCTACTCGCATGCATCTGTTCGCATTCCATAATACGGCAACCAGCACCGTCTATCCATTTGCATCCATCCTACCCTGTCCTGCCTTGTCCTGCCTTCACCCCGTGCACAGACCATAGCGGGGCTCGCTCTTCCCCTTCCGCATCCCCACCTCTCTTTCCCAGCCTGCTCACTCGACCCTCCCGACTCTCAGCTGCAGCAGCAAACCCTCTTCCAAACCCCCCGTGAAGCCCGCAAAAGCTCCCTTTCCACCCCATCTCAACAGAAAACTATCCCACTGGCGACTCGACACATCCATAACCCCACAGCCCCCCACCTACACACGCGCGCCCACCGACAGTCGTATGTCCATCGAGAACCTTAAGACCTTCGGTAAGAGCTGCGCTGCTGCAACCCTTAGCCCCCACCCTGCAACACAACGCGCAACCTAGCTGCTAACTCTACATTGCAGACCCGTTCGCGGAAGCGGATGAAGATACCGGCCAGGTCAAACAGACTCAGCAGGACTATATTCATATTCGTATCCAACGTACGTGCCTCACCGCCCTTGCACAGTTGACGCGAGAGGAAAAAATAAAGGTCCTCGCTGCAGGAACGCTCCCCCAGCTGACGCAACCGCAGAGCGCAATGGCCGCAAAACCCTGACGACCGTGCAAGGTCTCCCCAAGAAATTCGACCAAAAGAAGATCCTCAAAGTGATCAAGAAGAAGTTTGCCTGCAATGGCACCATTGTGAGCGACGCCGAAATGGGCGAGGTTGTCCAGCTCCAAGGCGACCAGCGAAAGGACGTCCAAGACTTCTTGACCGACAAGAAGGAAGGCCTCGGGCTCGACGCAAAAACAATCAAGGTGAGTCTCTCTCTCTTACACACACGCACACTTTCGCTCCAAAATTTTGGGGAAAATCTGAAGCTTCTGTTTCCTCCTTTCTCTCCCAGCAAAAAATGAAATAACTAACGTTGAAATGCTATCTAGGTCCACGGTTTCTAGTCCCGAGTCACTGTTCACCTTTTTTTGTTGCGCGCTCCCCACCCCTCGAGAACACTCCGACCTTTTCTTTTGCTGCAGCACACGGCTAAAGCGGCACTGCTTTTCTCTCTCGGAAAGCTTTGTCTGTATGGTCTTCTCACTGTGAGTAGGAAAAGTGGAGGGCGCGACTCGAGGTGCGATAGTGAGAGGCGTTTTCGCGCGGCGGTGTACATAAATGCTTATGCGCTGAATGCTTGCGTTGGACGATGGACTCTTCTTGTTTTTAACGTGATTACTACCAGGTGAGTAGCGCTCAAATTAAGAAGTATTGTCTCCACTCGCATCGTGACGTTGCTCGCGTGACTGGAGTTGAAAAAAAATACGTAAATGCAGACTTTTTTTGCAAAAAGATCGTCATTTGTGAGGATCCCAAAACCCACATGGTTATTCTTCACACGTCAATCCTTGTGTACAAAGTATGGTTACAAGGGGGAGAGGGCGGGAAATTTCCGTCTTTCTCTCTCTCTCTCTCTCTCTCTCTCTCTTTCGAGACGAAACTGTTGTATAACTCTCTCTCCCTCTCAAGCCCGTGAAGATCTTCTACGCACCGCCCGCCTGCACATCGAGCATCTTGCGCCAGTACTCCTGATCCCTCTCAATCACACTCGGCGTGCTCTCCTCTGCAAAACCCCACACCTTCCAGTCCTCCTCCTTGCCCTTGATAACCCTCTTCTGCAACACCAGGTACTCTGTCACCGTCTTCGGCACCACATTCTCTTCTTCAACAGCGTCTTGCACGGCAACCTGCGCACCGCCATTCTCATCCTCCAACTTCTGCTCGCGCTGCCGCTGCTTCTCCAGCTGCCGGCGCGCTGCATCCGGGATCCAAGGTAAGCGGTGAATTGCACGGTTTGGGGTCGCCGCAGACGAAGAGGAAGCAGGAAGCGCGCGGAGCGATTGCTCAGACACGAGGCGTACGACGACTTGTCTGTAGGCGGTGTCGGGCATAGACTCGCCCAGGGGCGCGGCGCGGTGCGATACTACGCGGCTTGATTTAAATGGGCCGTGGAGCCGCCATTGCAATTGCACGGGGCCGCGGGATAGGATGCGGGATTCGAGAGATTTGAGTAGCGGAGGGAGGCAGGTTTGTTTTAGGGGGGCGATGGTGCCTCTGTTTGTGGGAACATATGTGTTAGTGGGGGGTGTTTGATTTGGGAAAGGTAAGGTGTGAACATGGGAGACATAGACGTACTTTGCAAGGTTTGAGTAGATTTGCTCGTAGTTTTTTTGTGCGAACCGGATGTATTCTTTATTGTTGAAGAGATCGATGGGGAAGAATCTTGTCCAGCCGGTTTTTTGGATGCATGCGCGGTAGTAGTATCGTCTGGTGCATTGTTAGCCATTGTAAAAAGTCCACTATCAGACAACGTCGTCCTCTGCAACTCCTCTCATATCTTCTCTTTGTTTTTGACGTAGTGTACCCTCCTCCACCCAGTATGTCCAGCCCACCTCATCCAATTCCAGGAAAACCACTTACGAATACAGCGCCGTCCCTTTGCTCTTCACCAGATCCCAGTAATAACTTGTTATCCCCCGAAAACCAATGCCCTTCAACTCGCTAAACGGCGCTCTGATGATGGTATTTTGCAGCAATCCAATGTCTTCAGTCATGGCATCCGCACTAGTCTGCGCCTTCTCATAGTTGACCTTTGGTGACGGTGCAATCTGTGCCTCAGCCGCAGCCCTGGTTTGTACCGGATCTTGACCGAGTTGCTTGCGTTTCGAGGGGCGCGACGGGGTGCTCGAGAATGCGCGGGTGGTCGGTATGACGGTTTGGCACCGGGAAAGGTTGTGTGCTCGGTTTTGGTATTGGTGGCGCAGGAAGAGGCATTGCCGCTGTAGCGCTGGTATTCGAGCTGTGCGAAGCGGGATATGTGTCGACATGCTGGGTGGCTATGGTGTGGCACCCCGCGCACGTATTGGGTCGTGTGGTGGGGGTCGTTTTGGTGTTGAGGGCGGCAGCCGCTGAAGATGTCAAAAGTCGACGTTCTGGGCGGGAGAGTCGCGCTAAGTTTGTCGGACCCCCGAGAAATCCAACACTGGCAATCAATGTCTCGACATTCGTACTACTATCATCAAGTCTTGACACTCACATACAATCAGGAATTGTCTCAATTTCAAAAGGATGTACTGTTGTACATTTGCCATTTATTCATTGAGAGTACGATCTAAAGCTTGTGCTATACGCTGGCAGAGTAAGCCTGCAACCCGCGTCCGCACATATCGTAACCTCATTTTTTATCTTCCTGATCCGCATAATACAAATACAAGCTCAATTGGAGCTGAGTGGTGATAGGAGTACGCCCGAAAATGCCAATCAGATCTCTCTTCCTAAACAAAAAAACTCCTTTTCATGCAAGTAGATGTTGTACACATACGCATACAGATCAACAACACGGTTTGCTTACATGTTGCTGCTCTCCCCAAGAAGTTTCAGCACGCCCTCGTACGTGCCGAACATGATGGCAGCACTGGGCACCACACGGAACATATGGGGGACGAGGCCGCCATAGAGTGCTGCCATGCCTTCTTCCTTCCAGATCAGCCGGAAACATTGGACGAGACCAGTGTACTTTTGTCGGCCGTCTGCCATGGGTGCTTGTCGTAACCTTGTGCGGACAACCTCGTGTGGATATGTGATGAGTGCCGCCACAAATTTGGCCGAACCAGCAGCAGTCAGCTTTCCCGTCCATGCGACAGTCTGGTCCCATATTGTCGGTGGCTTGCCACTAGCAAGAACCCGCTCCTCTCTTCTTGCCAGCGACAGCTTCATCTGCTCATATAGCATCCACTGTAGTGTGCTCTCGGTGACACCGAGATAGCTGGCCGTCAGTCCACGGTACAGTCCACGAACACCTTCTTTGCGTATGGTTTGCATTGTGCAGTCAAAAGCGTTCTTGTACTGACGACCCCGACCGTCCGAGTGGGTATTCTTGTCCAATTGCAACCGCGTCTTGACCAGCCAAATAGGATTTGTTGCGGTTCCGGTTACGATACCGGCGGCGGCGGCACTGCAGAGATGTACCCATGCGGCTTCCTGACCATTATTGAAGTGTGTGCTAATCAATCGCTTGCCATTTCCATATGCAAAAAAGTTGATTGCGCGGGCGGGGACCACACCAATAAGATTAGGTCCTAGCCCTTTGAATAGTGCCCGCCAGCCTTCTGCTTTGGGGACTTGCCATAATATCTCCCCTGTCTCCCGTACGTGCAATAGCGAACTTCGTGCAAAGGACATGGTTTCTATGGGTGGCAAGCCTCGGGCCGCGCGCATGGCGGCAAGGTGCTGCTGATAAAAGGTGGATTGAAGACGAGTCTTGAGGACATCAAGCGGAGCAGTGAGGGTGGCGGAGGCCATGCCACCAAGTCTGAGCAAATGTTAGCTTCTGGTGCCATTGCGTAAAGACTTTGCTCTGTACCCTCCGGCGACAAAATGCGCCCATGACTTTCCAGACTTGGGATCTTCTTTCGCTACGGATGCGCCGTCTGCCTGTTTCGGCGGCGTGACTTCTCCCAATTCTCGCGACGAGGGTGGCAGCGGTTGCAGAGGGTGGGCAGGGCCGTCTCGAATACCTCGAGGCCTGGAGGTTTCTTGCAGTGCCATCGAGAGACAAAAAAGTTGGTGGCGGGGCTGGCGACTTGTCTGATTGTGTCGGGAGAGGCGGGCGGGGGCGATGAAGCGTGGATGGATTGGCGGATCCTTGACTGGTTAAATCTCACGCAAAAGTCTCGTCCAGCGATGAGCGTGGCGGATGCGCTGTACATGCAAATGCAAATGTCCCCAGATTTTTGGCATGTAACCCCGATGCGGCTAGCGACCGGCGAGACTACTGCGGCGTCATAGTTGCATTGCGTCGTGTGAGCCTCACCCAGATCGAGAGAGCGAGCTGCCATTGCGCCTCTTGCCCATTGTACTGATACCCACGTCAATATGCGCCCAACCTCGGCTTGTCTTGCACCTGGTTTCTTCAAGCGTAGTTTGGACGAGTTCAAGCGGCTCTCCAATTTTGGTGGGTGCCAAAAACCGCACTTTGGATGCGCCGCCACTGACATTTGCAGCGCTCAAGCTCGAGGGCCTCAGGTCACCCCAGAAGCCATTCCCTCTGATTCTCTTTAATCAGTCCGAAGATGTCGAACTATGCAAGCGTATGAGCGATCAAGACATTGGCGGCTTCTCTTCCGCAAACTTGGACTTCCACCCCCCTACGAAGAATGAACCCCCACATGTCCGCTTTCACGGCTCCATATCCACACAACTGCCACACAACCAACCGCACATTCAAAGGACCGGATATGCCGGGTGGAGGACATTGGACCGGGGCTCGACAATCTTCGGCAAGTCGCTGTGGGATGTGAGCATGTATAGTTTCCTCGCCATCCAATTCAAGTCAGATGGGCGCAAGTACTTTGTAAACGTCCAGACAGAATCCATCGTCCCCACCGATATCCACCAGCACTTGCTGCACTCGAAGACACCTGGAGAGTGGGAAACAATCTTGATCAAGTGGAATGAGTTTGTGCGGACAAATCACGGCCAGGTTGTAGAGCCTCAGAGAGAGATGTTGACGCAAAAGGTGCGCACAGTAGGCATATCGCTGATAGATCGGATACCAGGGCCATACGACCTGAGTATTAGCAAGGTCTGGGCAACAAACGCGACAGATGAGGACGAGTTCTTGAAGGCTGCTCCGGTCCCGACGTTGCAATCTAGTGAAGGTGATCTGAAGAGTGTCAGGAAGGATTCTGGAGTTAGCAACTCTTCGCGTCAGACGATTACATAAATGGATATAATGTTGAATTGTCGTAATTGACTCTAGATATATTTTTGCTGCGCTCACTATGCCACTTTCTCTGTCCCTTAAGGAATCATAGCGCTTAATACTACTGTGTCGATGTGGGATGTGTGGCGCTGCCTATGCGGAGCCCATTGCTTCGCGACAGGTACGCGCCTGCGCGCTCGGTTGCTGGTTACTTACTGGGCTGGTCCCTCAACATCACCTTCACCAAATAAGGCTCAACTTGAGAACCGCACAGTCGACAAGAAAGCTGCTAGCCACGTCACCAGTACACGATGCAAAAGCCGCATAGAGGAGTATTGTGAAAAGTATCCTAGAGGCAATAGCTGGAGGTCCACACAATCTGCTGCTTTGTTTGTTGTAGCTACCTACAACCTTGAAAGCGGCAAGGATGACGATACCTCGTTACCTTACAGCGCAAAAGATTAGTCTTCTTGTTTTGACTCGTCTCTACTGCACTTCTCCTCTCCCCTCTTCCGCGACAATACCTGTTCTCTCCTTCATCTTGTCAGACAGCCTGCCTTCAACACCATCCAGCGCACGGCCACAGCCCTCTACCTCAAACCAGCAGGATGCATCTTTTTCAATCGATGCATTCGAAGACGTGCTCCAAGGACATGCGTCAAGTATGCCGGGCCGGACCCTGCTCGACCTATTCCTCAAGCAAATGTGGGAGATAAATTCCTTCGATGCGCTGCATGCTCTCTTTGACAGTATTCTGGAGATTGTTACGGCGCCGGTGCCATCAAACCAAGATGAAGAGATACCAGACCGCACCTATCTATCCAAAACATCGCCCCTGGGTGCATTTGTTCGTAGAGCACATTTGGAGTTTACCAGACTGCAATTCGACGACTCAATGAAACTCTGGTCATCATTCATCAAATACAGAGCTCCAACAGCGCAATGGACCAAGCGACTTGCTGGCCTAGCTTCAAGTGGTGTCGATGTAGTCGCTTCTGAGATGGGTTTGAGGGATGGAGATGATGTGTATGAAATTGCATACGGCCACCTGGAGGACCAAGAAGAGCAGGGCGCAGATACAAGCCTGGATGACCTGGACCGGATACTCGACTTCCAACTTGACCGACTGCAAAGGTTTGGAGATCGCGTTCCAGATGAAATGAAAAGCCGGTTACGCAGCATGGTGAGCCCGTCAGGACAGGTACATCGCCAGGCGCATCTGGTGCACTTTTTCGATGCCTGGAAGGCGGGAGACTACACATCCGCATTTGACAATCTGCATCGCTACTACGACTATGCTATGCAGACACGCGAGAAGATTCATTACCAGTATGCTCTGCTACATATGGCTATTCTGCAGGCAGACTTTGGCTGCTACGGTGAGGCCATAGCTGCTATCAACGAGACCATTGCAACAGCTCGGGAAAACCAGGACATGACTTGTTTGAGTTTCAGCCTTAGCTGGTTGAATCATATGGCCAAAGCATACCCAAAGCAGATGAGAGGTGCAGGATACATGAGCATGCTTGGAAGCGAGCGAGATGCATTGGCGTTCCTTAAGACCAAGGCAAAGGATGCTAAAATGTATCATCTGCTCAGTGCAAGTCTGCTCAACGAAGCAAAGCTTTCTCTCGCCACCGTACGTAACAGCTCGGTGACTTGATTGGACACAGTGTTAACATCCTACCAGGGCGATTCCGTCCCACGAGCGCTGGAACACATCTACCAGTCCTCCCACCTCAACATCAAAGAGAATGTAAACAGCTATGGCAGTCAAATGCTTCTCATAGGAACGCTCTACAACCGGCTCGGCATACCTCATCTGTCCAACGTGCACTGTGAGCTCCTTCTTGACTGCTACTCGCACTCATGTCCCATTGAAGAGCGTCTCCGTGCCATTGGGCGCCAAGCTTTTGTCATCAGCCAGAGCGGCAAATACGACGAAGCGATATCTATCCTCGAATCTGTAGATACATCCGTACACAAGTCTCTCAAGTTCAATCAGTTCCTCGTCCTATGTATCGGGCTCATCAAGCTGAGAAAAGCTATCAGGAGGTACTTAAAGCAAATACTGTATCTAAATCATAAAACTAACATGTCTTGAATAGATCCGACTGGCCAACAGCTACGCACCTCCTCGAAACACTCAAACCCACCAATTCCTCTTCCACGCCTCCTCTTGACCCGGAACTGTCGTTCATCCAGCACGACACTTATATCAACTACCTCGTCTCAACGGCTCAGTTCCCGCTTGCGTATCAATGTATTTCGGCTCTTGCCCAGTCCCTCAAAGAAGATAATGCCGATATCCAACAACGCATTTCGGTACTCCTCATGCAGGCTGATCTTTGGATCAAAGTAGGGAAACCAGAAAGGGGCTTCAGCGTGGCACTGCGGGCAGCGAGTGTGAGCTTCAGAGCACGCTTGGGCTTCACGCTTTGGTATGCAGTGGGTTGTTTAGGCGCGATCTTGAATTCGCTGGGTGAATATCGAGAGGCGAAGAGATTAGTGGAAGGTGTGCTTCCTCAGGTACGTTTCCACATCCTTTTATTCTCATGGCAGAAAAGTAGGTCGATGATGCTAACATCTTGCGAAAAAAAAAAGGCTCTAGAAGGCGGCGATAGGCTGCTCATCGGAACTTTGTACTCGCACTTATCAGATTCCTATATGGGCCTTGCTAATCCCAATCTCACACCTGTCATTACCATTACCGCTTCCAACCCGCCGCAAACACCTGTGACGCCTACGGCGCCATTGCACCGTTCCCGCTCTACCAACATCGCCAAAGCAGAACTCTATATTGACCGCGCACGAGACAGTTTCCGGAAAGCGGGGTACCTAGATGGAGAATGCGAGCAGCTGATGAAGAAGGCGATAATCGCCAAATTGCGGGGCGACGAAAAAGTAGCAGAGGAATGGGCAATGAGGCACAATAGCGTTTGGGAGGAAGGACTGGCGGCACTAGAAGGCTAAATCATGTAAAAGAGAGATGTATAGAAACCAGTAATGTGAATTATTCGGGACGTTGCCACACACACACGCACAGTCAAGTTGCAGATACAAAAGGGAAAAAATGCATTTGTTGGTCTACTGTCTCTCTCTCAGCATGTTTGCTCTCGTCGTACTATCTACACGCATTCAGCCCTGGCAGTTTACTTTCTAGATGAGGTGTTTTGGGCTCGGGAATGGTATATGTGATATCACTTGTATAGAAGCGCTGACGTGCAAAGCGCTTACTCGTCCTTCTTGTGATAGTTGACCTTGTCGTTCCAGAAGGCAGTCTGTTGTGGAGTTAGATAACAGGGTTGGGCATATATGCATGTGTATATCTGGAATGTACCTTGTCACCGTCTCCCCACCAGAAGTTCTTGGTGCGAATGTTCTGGTAAGGGTACTCGGGCCTCTCAGAGCGGGGGTGCTCGTGCTCCTCGTGGGCTACGTGCTCCCAGTGGGCATCCCACCTCACCTTTGCGTTGACGCTGGCGACGATGATGCAGGGGACGGCGACGCTGTGATGATGGTTAGCGACCATTTCGAGGGGGAAACAGCATTGTATCTTTTTCGTCTCTTTTGAGACTGCCATATTTCACACCAGACCCCAATTTGGTCCCCTCCACTATCCAATTTGCTTGTCCTCAACTCCACAATCGTCTTGTTGTCCCTTCCTCATCCTCATCGTCATTCCCCCCTCTTTCCCCAGAAAAGCAGCCGGGCAACTTACTAGAGCGAAAGCTTGCGCCAGAACTCGCCAGACTCGCCAGCGTGCTGCTGAATGTGAGCACGCTCACGGTTGAACTCATTGTCCTCGGCACCGGCAAATTGCTTGGGGCTCTCGGAGCTGTAGTTGCGGCGGCCGGCGCGGGCAGGAGCGCGGGCAAGGGCCTGGCGCGGGGCGGCGCGGGCGACAGAGCGGGCGGCGAACATGGTGAGGGATTCGGCGTGGCCGGTTTGGGGTGGAGTGGAGATGGGGGGTGGTCGCAATTGGTGTGGGCGTAGGCGTGGGCAGTGAGGTTGTGACAGAGGAGCCAGCTCCGAATTGACGAAACAGGGCTTGGCGCGCGCAACTCGGATGGGCTGATGCGGAGTTTGCCGACCCCGACGGGTAATGTGACGTCGTGCACTGGTCGCGTTGGCGCGACTTGCCTCCTTACGCGAAACAGCTTCCTTTGCTGAGGCATCGACGAGGGAGCAGGACGATGAAGAGGACTGGCTTTGTGCATATTCATCATCGTCCTCCATAATCCCCTTCCACATACACCACCATGGTTCGCATCACCACATGGAATGTCAACGGCATTCGCAACCCGTTTGGGTACAAGCCATGGAGTACGAATCGCACGTTCAATGCCATGTTCGATATATTGGAGACCGACATTGTGATTATGCAGGAGCTGAAGATTCAGCGCAAGGACCTGACAGATGATATGGTCCTTGTACAAGGCTGGGATTGTTACTTCAGTTTGCCCAAGCATAAGAAGGGTACGCCATCTTGGCTTGTATACGCTAGTCCTGTCATCCTGTACTGATGTACTCCAGGATACTCTGGCGTCGGAATCTTCACACGGCAAGCCGTATGCGCTCCTATCCGCGCCGAAGAAGGCGTCCTGGGCGCTCTTTGCCCTCCTAACTCGACAACGCCCTACCGCGAACTCCCGGAATCTGCCAGTATCGGCGGCTACCTTACTCCAACACAAATTGCGACTCTCCCTCCTGATCTTGACGCCGAGAGCTTAGACTTGGAAGGGCGCTGCCTGGTCCTCGAGTTTCCGGCTTTCGTCCTCTTTGGTGTCTACAGCCCAGCAAACAGTAATGGTCTGCGGGACGGATTCCGCATTGGCTTTCTTATAGCCCTCGAAACACGGATAAGAAACTTGACAAAAATGGGAAAGAAGGTTATTCTTACGGGAGACCTGAATGTTTCCAGAGACTTGATCGATACGGCGAGGGCGGAAGAACACATACGGACGGAGGGCATGACACATGACGAGTATCTGAACACGCCAAATCGCCGCATTTTCAATCAGCTATTGCTTAACGGCAAGGTGCCAGGCCAGCGAGACGAGGGACGGGAAGAGCCGGTGCTGTATGATTTGTGTCGCGAGTTTCATCCTGATCGCGAAGGCATGTTTACGCACTGGGAGCAGAAGATCAATGCTAGGCCAAGTAACTTTGGATCACGGATCGATTTTATTCTGTGCAGCATCACCATCAAAGATTGGTTCCAGGATGCGAATATCCAGGAAGGACTAATGGGCTCAGACCATTGCCCTGTATACGCAGTTTTGAAAGATAAAGTGCCGGTACTACGAACGTCAGGATCAGATAGTGTAGAAGAGGAGGTGCATATTCTAGACTTGATGAACCCAGCAGGCATGTTCAAAGACGGTGTACGGCAACGCGATTATGATCCAGCCAAGGACATCCCGGCTCTTAGCGGGAAACTTCTTTCAGAATTTACTAAGAGGAGGAATATTCGGGACATGTTCAGTAAAAAGCCAGCTCCCCCGAAACCTAATCCAAAACCTACGCCTGCGGTAGCTCGGCCGGACGTCACAGCAAAAGCTGAGGTCGCAAGTACTGCAAGCACAGTCGAAGAGCAGATGGATAGAGATCTAGCTTTGGCCATTGAGGCTTCTAAAGCAGATATGCTTGCAAATACTGAAAACAAGCTCACAAATTCGCAGAGTCCTCTCAAGTCTGCCGAAAAACGACGTGCATCAGCCTCTGCGTCTCCTGGAAAGCCAATCAAGCGGGGCAAACCCGGGGCCCTAGCTGTGCCTACCAAAGGGAATAAAGGGCAACAATCACTTAAAGGTTTCTTCCAGACACATAGCAAGCCTGCAGATTCTGTTGAGCCCAACGACGCAGTGCCATCAATGTCATCATTCGAAGCCACCGATACTGCAAGTCAGAATGCTACGGACATGGCTCATCCATCTTCTCCGTCGTCGACAGCCAACAAGTCCTTTGACTCTGATCCCCGCGCTTCTCAAGAAACCTCAAGGGAAGGCTGGACAAAGCTTTTCTCTAAGAAAGCAGCGCCCCGATGTGAACATGGCGAACATTGCATCACTCGCACGACCAAGAAACCAGGAGTCAACTGTGGACGGCAATTTTGGATATGCCCTAGGCCGATTGGGCCTTCGGGACACAAGGAAGTAGGGACGCAATGGCGTTGTGGAACGTTTATCTGGTGTAGTGATTGGAAAGGCAGTTGAGGGAGTCGGGGAAGGCGTGCTGAAACTGCTGCGCCATTGTTGGATGACTGTATTCCCTCGGATGGTGTTAGACGAGGGCAATGCCCGAGATTGCAAGAGTACGGCGAATTGTATGGATGGTATGACGGGTATTGCACCAAAGTAGCAGATGATGCATCGAGAAGTCCAGAGCCATGGGCGAATGAAGGCGTGCAGAATCCAAGCGTACGTAAGGCAGGAGTAAGACTAGGCCGCACACATGGCCTGCTCGCAGATTGCGTACGAAACAGCCGTTTCGCAATACCATGGGATTTGGACAAGAATGCGATGGTGGTGAAGGAGAGGGGCTGGGTGCATGCCGTTTATCGATTCTCTGAGTTCGGATGCCGAGGCGGGGGGGCTGAGGGAACGGGGCGGGACGGCGGAACGTGGCTATGCGGGGGGATGGACAAGACCACCAGACGAACAGTCCGTTTGGTACGACGGTCGAATCTACACTACCCTAGGAATGTCGAGTCTGGCACACGGCGATTGTGCAGCAGTGCTGCCATGTGCTGCTCGGCTATGCTTTGCGTCTGCGCATACTTAGAATAGAGAGAGGCGTGGGCGCCGCCTGCGCGCTGGCAACTGTGTGCGCGGCAGCCGTCATGGCGCATTCGACATCAGACGATGGATTTGCCCAAAGGCTACACGGCCAGGCCAGACAAGCCGGCCAGTATCCACCAGCTAATCCTGCAGAGGCACAGAAACGGGCCGGCAGCAGTTCGCGGGCGCTTGCCCGGCACTCGGTTGTTCCCGCGGCCATCTTGGTTGCAGTTGTTTATGAAACACCAACACTCGCCCATCCGGCGGCCGCGCCTATTGTCACTGTGAGCGCCTCGCGGATGGGCGCTCTCGGTGGGTCGCCAGGCTTCTTGCTCGGCCCGTGTGTGTTGGACTGCTACTATTCTCGCCGCCTGGTCTCTCTCGCGCGCGCACTCGACCTCGGGCGACTCTCTGTGGACATTCCCTTTCTGCATCAGGCTGCGGGCCTTGGTTGCACTTTGTTGTTTTCTGCGACAGGCCACCTGCAACATGCACCCCTCTGCAGGTCCCCGAGCTCAGCCCTACAAAGTATTGATGACTACAGCGCCCTACATGCGAATGTCTGACCAGCAGACGCACCCCTTGCTCGTTTGTCGCTTGCCAAGGTCTTTATTTGGGCCTTGAAGCCTGGTCGAATCAGCGCCAGATTAGCCGCCCCTAAATCGCGTCCCCCTTCCTCTACCGCTACCCCTCCATTCGGTACTCGAATTATTCTTAGACACAGCCGCATCTGGCTGCACAGTGGGTATCCTCAAACAGGCGCTTCCGTTGCAGGCCACCCTCCCTTGCTCGAGGGGACGAACCGCTCACGTTTCTGTGCGCCGACCACTCACAGGCCCAGTTTTGGCCAGCCCTGGCCCTCTTTCATGGCGCTTGGAGTCGTGACCCAGTGAACAGCCTCCTCTTCGCCTAGTCACACATACCATTCTCGGTACATGGCAGATCGATCCGGCGATTACAGAAACATGTCCTGGTTTCAAAACAATTCTCCGGCCGGCCTGATGGCCTTTGTTGTGGATGGAGGCTCTGTATGTGGCTTGTTGTATAAAGATGCTCGCCATGCCCCTTGATGCTTCTTCAGACAGCCCAACTGCAACAGGTACGACTACAAGTTCTTTCATTATCACTCGTCAGGCCATCTCCCATCTTTCCTTCTTACTCTGTCACTCTCATTCTCCACCGACTTGGTCTGCTCTAATCATAATCCGCTACCCGGTCGCTTCCATTACTCTCATCGCTGTCTTCTACTTCCTTGTAGCCCGTCATTCAATATCTCTATTCCTGTCATCACATTCTTCTCTTGCTTGTCTCCTCACTCTATTGGTCGACAATGCCTAAGATTGACAAGGGTCCGTCGCATCGCCATTCCGTGTCGACTTCATCGGCTGCAGGCGGAACTCGGAGCTCCTCTTGGTCCACTAAGGATGACGAAACACTTATCCGCGCGAGAGCCCAAGGCCTCAACTGGAACCAGATCGGACCAAAGCACTTTCCTTCCAAAACTCCAAACGCCTGCCGTAAACGCCACGAGCGATTGATGGAGAGGCAGAATGCGGAGCAATGGGACGGCGTCAAGCTCGAGATTCTGGCACAAGCCTACATGGACGTGCGGCAAGAAATGTGGAGTTTGCTCGCAGCCCGTGTCGGAGAAAAGTGGCAATTGGTCGAGACAAAGGTGAGTTTGCTTGTGAAAGCCAGACCGTTGTAGTGCGATACTGATTTGACCACAGTGCATGGAAAAGGGACTTAAGAATCTTACGCAGGCTGCTAGGTCGGCCCACAAGAAGCTCGAGAATGGTACCTACCACGACTATGAAGACAGTGGAATAGGCATTTCTGACCTCGAAGAAGAACAAGAGGATCAACATGGTGGCATGTCGCACATGTCCGCAATCTCCGAGCCTCATTACTCTCCGTACTCTGGCTACCCACAACCACAGCATCAGCGGGTTCCGAGCATCCAGTCTATGCTGCACCCGATGCAACAGCATTCGCACCATATGCAACAGTCTGTGCATCAGCCTATGCAGCAGTCGATGCAACAACCTATGCCACAGTCAATCCAGCAACCTATGCCGCAATCGATTCAGCAAATCCCGCAACCTATGCAGCAGCCACTCCAGCAGCCAATGCCACAGTCAATGTCACAGCCAATGCAACAACCGATGCACAGTCAGTCAATGGCATACTCGTCGCATCAGCTATCGCACCCGCAATAGACGGCTGGCATCGTGACTAATGGGCTTTGGCCTTATTTTTCCTACTTACTTTTCCTTCAACATCTCATTCTCACGATCGTTACGATTCTCATGGCTACCTTTTTCACCCGGTAACCTTCTCTTTTCTGTACCAATACCCTTCAGAAACGCACCGATACCCATCACTACCATCTGGTAGCTTCTCTTCAAGATATACACCTACATAGGTGACTTAGACTTGCTAGTATAGCAGTCGTTCTATACACTCTATCTGTTCTTGTGGAACAGCGGAGGACCGTAATAGGGTCGGATAACAGGACATTCTCTTGCATCAGGATCGATAGTAACACGGGTTATTTCTTTCATATTTTTTAACCTTTTTTTTTTGCGATACATGTTCGCGGATACTAGGATGACTTTTCTTTGGTATGCGGAGATGGACTCGTGTATTTTTTTTTTCATTATTTCTTATGCTTCTCTTCAATGTTATTTCTTTCTTTTCATGTCATTTTGATGCTTCCAGGCGCATCTTCTAGCATGTGATTGAGTTTCCTTTGTCGTCTAACTACTTGTTGTATAAAAAGTTGTCTGGTTTACTGACGATGTTACCAACTTGTAGTTGTACAAAAGAAACTACACTACTAGCTGCCTTCCAGCTGCGAACACACCGTTCCCAGACCCCACTATCGTCGAGTCGACCCTGTATCATCTTCGTTACACAAGCGCACAGCCCCGGCCGCATACACAGCCTCCGCCATAGTAATCCTTTGACCCCACAAACTTCCAAACATAAGCACACTCAAGAAAAAGACAGCCTAGCGATTTCATGCATACCCTCTCGCAGAGCCTCACTAAAAATAAACATTCAATTCCGTGCATGCGGCAACGACACACCCTTTCCCGCCTGCACTCTGCACGCGACAGCAACAAGCACGGCCACGCGATTGGCGCGTGGCGCACACGCGCACCCGACAAGGCCGATTTGGCGCTAAACAAGCATCATGACATAACCACCTTGTTTTTGGAGCATTGCCGTCCCCGGTCCCCCCATGGACAACCCGCACAACGACAAGATGATTGACCGATAGCAGTAGCCAGAAGAAGAAAAGAAGAGAGAGAGACTCCACCATTTTTTCCTGTTCTTCCCTTCATCTCTCTCGTTTACTTCAATCAAAACGCAATGCCCCGCGCCCCTCTCCTCCGCATCCCATATACAGATCCCTTACCCGCACCTCGTATCATTCCCACAAGCGCCACAACAAGCAGCGGCGCCATTGCCGCTCTCGTGGATTTTCTATCGCCATGCCTACCATCTCCCATGCCTTCCTCCTCTTCTTCTTCGTCGCGGCACCCTGCATTCGTACCCCGTCATGATGATGCCAGACCAGCAAAGACGCTGCTTCTCACCGGCGCAGGCATATCCGTGGCATCGGGCCTCGCAGACTACCGCGGCGCAAACGGGACGTATACGCTAAACAAGACGTACCGCCCCATTTACTACAATGAATTCTGCGACAGCCACGAGGCAAGGAAACGGTACTGGGCAAGGAGTTTTATGGGGTGGACGCATCTTGAGCGCGCGAGGGCGAATGCGGCGCATGTGGCGTGTGGGGAGTTGGGGAGATTGGGTGTTGTTGGGCGGGTGATTACACAGAGTACGCCTCTCTCTCTCTCTTCTCCTTTATCCCCCTCGCTTGGCCTCCCATCTTCCATTGAAAAAAAAAGGGCAGCAAGGAAGAGGAAGATTCACAAAAGAACAAGTAGCTGACAAGAGTTGTTTTTTTATGAGTAGATGTCGATTCCTTCCACCCAACCACACACCCGCACCTCGCCACCATCGAACTCCACGGCTACCTCCGCAACCTCGTCTGCCTCAGCTGCCGAAACGAGTACTCACGGCGTACATTCCAGTCCCAACTCTCCCGCTTAAACCCCTCGTGGGCCGCGTTTCTCGCAGAGATGCTGCAGACGGGCGCGCTGGATACCGAGAATCCGGTCGAGCGTCGCAAGAGAGGCTTGAAGACGAATCCAGATGGCGATGTCGATATTCCCGATGCGCCCTACACTACGTTTCGCTACCCTGCGTGTCCTACGTGTCTGGAGAAACCGCCGAGGCGCGCGGATGGGACAGAGGTTACTGTGAGGGTTGATGCGGATGGGGCGTGGGATCCGCGCAGTCAGGGCGGGGTGCTCAAGCCTGCTGTTATCATGTTTGGAGAGTCGATTCCCGCGGCTACCAAGGTGGCGGCTGAGCAGGCGGTCGAGGCTGCGGCCAGGGTCCTGGTCATTGGCAGTAGTCTCGCCACGTATTCTGCGTGGCGGCTTGTGAAGAAGGCAAAGGAAATGCGTTTGCCCATTGGCGTCTTGAATATGGGTGGAGTACGCGGTGAAGAAACGTTCTTCGGGGATATGAACAATGTCAATGCCGGGAGGCATGCTGTGCGGTTGAGCGACAATGCAGAACGGATACTTCCGAGTGTTGTTGAGATTTTAGCGCAGATGAAAAGACAAGAATAAGATATATTGGGAGGGTTATTTCTTTCAATCTGTAATCTTCATATTTCTACGGATAAGAGGAGAAGAAAAATAACTGATTCCATACTAGAGGGAAAAAGAAATCGGTACAGGGACATCAGACTTTGTGGTATCAAAAGCGTAGGAAAAGGGAAAAAGAAAAGAAAAGGTTTATCTAATGCCCGCAAGAGACTTTATGCATATGTGCATATAAACGGTTTTCAACACCGCCAGAAGAAGAATCGAAAAAAAACTTCATAATTTCAATGTTGGGGTTGAACAAATGTGTGTGTGTGTGCATGTTGGAGATTAGTAGAAAAAAAAACCCAGTCTAACAAATTCCCCAACCCTTCTTTGCTCATGGCATCTTCTCGGCATCATACACGGCAACAACAGCACCGCCGTTGTTCAAGTCCTGCTTGCCCATGTCGTTCTCAACCGGGTTGTGGGCTTTCGATTTGGAATCCATCAAGAGCGCGAGGTTGCGCGTGGGGAGACGCATGAGGTCGTCGCTGCAGGCCTTGCAGATGCGCAGCTGGCACCACGTGCAGCACCACTTGCGCTCCTTGCCGTTCTCGCGACACACCATGCAGGCCATGGGCTGGAAGACGTTGTTGGACCAGATGTTCTGCGCGTGGCCTGTATAGCAGTGGAGGTGCTTGTTTGTGACTTGTGGGACGAGCGAGAAGGGCACGGGGATGGATTGCTCGGTTAGGGGAACAAAGGGAGGAGGTGTTGCGGGTTCCATGACTTCTTTCGGCTCAGTCATGATCTTTGGTTCACTGTCCTTGGCGATGGGGGATGGAGGGATGGAGGGTCCGGGAGATGAAGATAGATCCGGGATGCCGACGCTGATGGACGTGGGGCGCGAGGGCGCGCTCAAGGGACGAGAATCAGATTGTGGTGGGAACTCGAGTGAGGTGATGCGAGCAGGTGGCTTGGCGTTGATTGGTGGTGTTGGTGCATATGGAGGCGCAGGGTTTGTGAACTCTGGCTTGATCTCTTGTTGCACTGATACCGGAGGTTGCTGCTGGGGCTCAGCGACGGGCTCAGTGACAACAGGAGACTGCTCGTAAACGGATGAAGTCCTTGGGTTGGTTGGGGGAGGCAAGGGCGAGACGGGTGAGATTCCAGCGTCTGGTTCTGCGAGAATGGGTTTTAGTGTTGGAGAAGGTGTCGGCTCTGGGGTAGTAGCGTGTATGTTGACTGTGGGGGGTGAGGGAGCCGGCCTTTGTGCCTGTGTAAACTGAGTTAGTAACTAAAACTCGTTCTCATGGAATAGGGCTCCAGTACCCTGAGAGTTTTGTCATGATGCAGAAGCATCTTATCTGACGAGTACTGGTGGTGGAAAAGGGAGGTAGATATATACCTTCAATACACTCAAGCCTGTACTGCTCTTCCCCTGCACGCTGACAGGCGATCCTAGAGAGTTGACACGTGGATTCGAGGGCAGACCAAAGACCTTCTTTGGTTGCGCCAAAGATGTCGTATCCTCCTTTTCTTCGTCGGGTGTTGGTGGGAGCTGAGCTTGCATGTTGGGCAGATTCTTTTTCGGTTGAGAATTGTCCATTTCGCTCGCGCTTACGTTGCTCTCGACATTTTCCCTCTTGGGTACATATGCGGGAGCTGTTGGCACGGCCTTTCTTCCTCGTGGACCATTTCCTAGTTCTGCCAGGCTCTTGAAAGTCCTGACAGTCTCGGGAACAGCTTTGCGCTTCACAACTGGCGACGAGGCGTCACTCGACTTGCCCTGCGACAAGAGCGAATCATTTCGCTCTCTGGCCTGCTTTGAAACCCTACCTCCCATTTCCTCCCTCCGATCTGATTTGGGTGGAGGTGGTGGGGGAAGATCTTCTACTGCAGAGACTGCTGAAGGAATGGATTGAGACGGCAATGGAAAGGCCGATGGCGAAGGGACTGTTGCTGTTGACCCGTTGCTGATGGTCAGCTTCAGCGAAGGCGGCCTGGAACCGCGAGACAGGCTACGTGACACGATGCGCTTCCTTGGTTGTGGTGAGCCTCCGACTGAGCTAGATGGCGACAAAGGTGCGTCTTGGTCGTCTGGTGAACATTAGTCTATTATGATGGAACAGCAGTCATTGTTGGCGTGATTGGTGTAGTTGAGGTGTAGAAAAGAAAGTAACAAAGCCATGATGAGGTATGTGACGACGTGAAACCAGGGCGTGGTCAGTGTGGACCCAAGCTATGGTTCAGACCAGCGAGGCTGGCAGTCTCAAGATCCACCACCATGTTGGTTCAATCGTGTCAAATTCCAAAGAATTCACTCACCTCGAAGTTGGAATTTGGCGTCCATTCGCTCTGAAGCGGGTACAGGTTTGCGCGCGATGCTGTCTGATCGTGGGGGAGGGGGAGGGAGCTCCTTGGTCACTGACGCAGGCGAGTAGACTGACGGGGACCTGCCGTCCGGCTCAAAGGAATTACCATAGTCGCTGAGCAGTGCACTGACAATGTCTTGACGAGACGACGGAGTGATGGCTAGGGTGTGTTGGGTTGTGATGTCGGACATGATTGTTGTAATGAGCGTGTGTGAGAGACGTTTGTGAACAAGGTCGAATGAATGGAAGTGTCTGGATAGACGGGTTTGCGGAGAGCGAACACAAGCTGGTAGAGAGCGTGGGGGGCAACGAATGAAGAGAACGACTATGCAACAATGGAGACGAGCAAACCGGTCCCAGCCCGATTAATTATGCCTTTTCGATAATGAGTGGTAGTAAAATGAAGGAAGGTGAGAGGAGATGGGGACGCGCATAGTAAACTCTGGCGTCGAAGATGGGCGTCTCAGGCGTAGAAAAGGACAGGGGGGGTGTGTGCGTGCTGAGTGGTCAGAAGACCGAATACATGAAGCAGTTGACATGATGACCAGGCAAAGAGTGGCCTGTCACAGGTGAGGATGTGGAAGCGGGCGGATCATCCATGTCCGCATAGAAGCGTTTGAGATGACAGGATGGTCGCGGGGCCCACCGGGACGCGGGGCGGTATCGATACTGGGAAGCAGGTCGATCAGCGCGGGCGGGCTGAGCATTGCAGCAGCGAGGAAACGGCAATTTGCGAGCCTTGCTGCTGGGCGCACTCGATGCGCCTCGTTCACAACGGTCGACATGGATGCAGCAGGCGCATTGTCGTCGACCCGTCAGCACGGAGGGCGATACAGGACCGGCGGGACGATGCGGCGCATTGGCAACGTCTACGTAACAGCCTAAGGGGCCTTCCTCCTGCCAGATCCTGACACCTCCGGGCTGGCTTTGCACGTGACGTGCACACGGCGCGTTTCAGGCACTCCCAAAGACCAGCCTCCGGGTCGATTGGGGAACTGTGCCTGACACTGGCTCTGCTCCTCCACCACTGCGCAGGCATGCATGACGTACCCGTGGCTCTCGGGCCCCTAGACACCGTCTAGAATCGCATGCTTTGGCCACAACGAAGACGACAACGACGACCATCATCATGTGTCTTATTACAAGCTACGTACGGACCGAGCGTGCTTTGCATGTGCTCGACCACAGCGGATAGATTGAGTGGCTGCGCGCACGCCCTGCTAGCTTAGTACGCCAGCCCTTCATACTCTGGACGAGCAGGCCGAGTCCAATGCATCGAGAAACGGACCGCATGGACATGAGTTCACCAAACATTATAGGGCTGATTTCAAGTATAGTATCAATGGGTTTCCATTGCTCCGTCGTGTCACCATAAAGCCGCTGTTCCAATTAGGAAGAGCCGTTATGCTAGGTCGTCCGTATACGAACATACCTAAGTATAGATCTCCCGCCCCTTTTCTACTGCATACTAAGCCCAGTGCTCTGCGTCCAAACACTACTTACATACGACGACCCCTCATCCAATTCGGTAGCCGTCTGGCCGTGTAAAATGTAAAAGCTCCCATGCGCCATCGCTAATGACTGATGGCTCTCAAATAGCCGACCATGTTGTAAAAATAAATATAAAAAATAAAACAGTACATGTACAAGAAAAAGATGTATGGGGGTATCGGTCCATTACTGGAAAAAGTAGAGGAAAAACATTAAGACGAGTGTGATCGTAGGCGTTAGTGATACGCTTGTTGTAGGTGCGGCGCTTTTGACGGGAGCAGCCGTAACATCGAGGAAATTAGTGCCACACCCTATTGAGATTTGGTGTGCGGCTGAGGCATACGTTTTCGCAAGGGGCTGCGAGGCATTGTTGCTGTAAGATGCGAATACACCCATTGCTGACTTTAGACATGAATTGCATGTTGGCCGTGATCCAGCTGGGAGCTCTTGTCCAACGGGCAGGTAGTATGGGTACGCGTCGCCAGGAGACGTCGTGTTGGTCACGGCGCTTGCAAAGCAGTAGTTGCCGTCTTTGCCGTGCAGGCAACTCGCCTGGTATGATGGCATGTAAGCAACCAGGCCATTGTAAGCCTGTATCACTATGGGATTGTCGTTATCATAGTCTGCTTTGCATGCGTCGGCCATGAGGATTTCCGTGGCATACTTGTCCATGAGGGGCTTGCATTGGGACGCGTTGGCCCCGCAAGTCGCGTCGAGGGTCTGAGTAATGCGAAGGGTAGATTTGGAGGCATCGAAGAAACCGCTCGATGTCTACAAACGGTCAGACTCTCGCTCAAATGCAGGGGCACAGACTCAATTACCTGTAGTAGCAACGAGAAAGGATGGCAGTTTACGAAATCCTCGTTTTGGCGCATGTTGTTCAGAAACTGTGCACAGGCATTGGTAAAGTTGTTGGACAGGGCAGAGTCAAAAGCGGCGGGGACGGAGAAATCGCCATTGGAAGCATTGGGATCGGTGCCGAGGGCTCGTTTGGATGGCGGGGATGAGCGGATGGCATCGTGGTGGCCCTGTAGAGGAGGCATCAATCGCGGCGCCTTGGGGTGGTGGATGGGATGAGGGTGCAGCGCCGATCCAAGGTCGTCTTCCACAAACAGCACTGATCGATGACCATGGGCTCTGGTCGCGAGTGCGGGAGCAGCCAGGGAACTGCAGGATAGAAATGCAACGAGCAGCAAGAGCAGCGCGCGGAGACGGCAGCCGAGCCTTGGTGCCAGGCGCTGATATATGGGCACACAGCGCCAGCGGTTCTCGTGTTGCTTGTCGAGGGTTTGCAGGGGGGGATGGTGCGACGGGATCGCTAGTGATTCGGGAGTACGAGCAGATTGGGAATCCATTTTAATAGATGGGCGGCCGATCCGATATTTAATATCCAGGGAATTGCACCAACTTCATGCAGCCCATGGCCGTCTCTCCGTTTCAATGTAGCCTGGCAGGCAACTCACACACGCACGCGGCCGGGAGCCTGCGTGAATATGTAATGTCCTTTGGTTTCGATGTTTCGCTCCGGGTACCTGCAGCCCAAGTGTCGTACGCTTTTTTAGCGGGTCGCCAGGGGTTGTCAACGGCGATGGGGAGAAAAAGCAAAGATTGACAAGCAGCTGGTGCGGCTTGTTCGTGGGTGTCGATCGTCGTCCAAACCTCCGTTTAGTAAAACAGTCTTGCAGCATCCAGAAGACGGCCAGGCACGGGAGCAGCCAGCCCTTATGATGATTGCCATGGGGCGTGGGAATGATTGCACGCCACGCCCCCCCCCCCCCAGGGCGGACCTGCTAACTTGCGCCACGCATCTGTCCCGTTGCCATACGGGACCTTTGGATTTGACTGCTGGCAGCCGGGTATGATAGGCCGGGGATCCATCGGTCAGTGCATTGCAATATCCAGTAACCAGCCCGGACGGTGTTCTGGCCAGAAAAACGGGACGCCCTCATTCTTGCGTGGCCGAGACCCAATACGGCCCGCCAAGCCACTCGACCCTTGCATGGCAATAGAACTTAGTATTTGGTCCACCACTTGCGCATAAGGCGACTCCCCAACGACTGCCGGCCCCTAGGGACGAGGGCGATTGCAGTCAGAGTCTTAGCCCCTCACCCCGGCCCATACAATATCGCAGAAGCTGCTGGAAAGAGATGCCCGAACTCTGTCCTCGATCCTACGTACATGGAGTCCTTAGCACGTCGACTTATTATCATCGCTGTTATTGATAGCACGCCTTAGCGCTAGCCTCGCCATCGGCCGTCCAAGCAGACATCTCGCCATTGTCCTGTCCTGTCATCCAACACTCGATGTACACCATATCGCCAAGCCAATAAGCCACTCCGCACACGCGCCCCTTTCTGCTCCATGCCGTCATGTCCGCTCGACCTATCTCTACCACTACCTCCCAAGCCCAAACCGTATACTCGCTTCAGCTGTCCACCACCACTCTGCAAAATCAAGCTGAGCTACCAGATTAGCCCACCAGTACCCTCTCCAACTCGTCATGTAGACAGCCACAGGAGCCCTAGTGGCCAGCACGCTTACCCGTAATTCCACCTCGTCTTGGCCTGGCTGCTAAGGCTGCGTCGGGCACCTAGTCTGCCTGTCATCCTTTGTTTCTATCAGCATGCACCCGCTGCAGACTTTTCCACCCACCTTCAGTTCCCTGATCCGGCAAGGTTTTCCTGTATCCAAGCTGTCATCGCTTCCTTCTCTATCGAATCCGTCAAGGGCACTCAGGCTACCATCCTTGTTGAACTCATAGTGCTCACCCTTCGGCTCTCCACAATAACAAAATTGACATAGTCATTCCCGGTCGACCCGAATCACGTTGAAAAGTAATTAACATTCAACAAGGCACCTTGCTACGTACCTGCACTGTCATCATAAATCGACCGACCATCTGGAATCTCACTATGCCCCTCACTTGCTGCATTCCAGCCTTATCTTCGTCATCTGTGTAAAGATTCGTGCAGCGTCTTGGTCGTCTCGTACTGGAACGCGTATGCTCATCAAAGCCTATTTGCACCCCCCTCTTTCAAGCAATTGCATCAGACAATCCAGAAGCCTCCCCATGATACCTGGATCGTATGTCAGCCAGGCAATGGATTTCAACACAGAACTTACATTTTGAATCCTGGCTCCCACACAGTGACGCCTTTTCTAGACACGTGACCATTGGCAAGCGTGGGCGGTTCGAGGAAAAAGTGCTTATCTGCTGAACACTCCAATACCTTGCCATACAAGGTGTCGTCCTCGAGGAACTTCTCAAACCCACTCACAACAGTGGATACAGGTGTTAAACTGCGACCCGTCAATCAATCATTCTGACACAGGACATATACCCACTATTCTGCCGACACGGCTTCAATCAATCCCTGCGGTAAAATGGCCGTTTGCACAATGCCTGCCACTTTCAATTCCTTTGCTCGGACGAGAGCATGTTTGGGTTATACTCACCAGGGCATACTGCATTGATCTGGATGTTTTCTTTCTGCCGTTTGTCAGTTCAAACTCCATGACCCTGGTCTGCTCGTGAAAACCCACGGCTTTCAGTATGCGTGCCGTCGCCCGTACAAAGTTGACAACAGCCGCTTTGGCTCCATCATACTCTGGAAAAGTTTCGTGAGGAATTATCCCCGCAACACTGGCCGTAGTAATGATTTTGCCACCAGCTACTTTGTTCTTGCGGAAGAAGTGAATCGCTAGCTGTGTACCGTACACGACGCCTTTGTAGTCTACATCGGTACAGAGCAGATCTGGTTTCGGCGGGATTCTTTCACAGTTAATGGAAAAGAGCAGGTATCATAATGAGGTCTTACTTGTCGGATCCGCGGTGCTCGAAGATGAAGATTGAGCTACACCGGTTCAGCATTGATTGAAGCATGTCTCCAGCAGAACATGCCTTTTGTCAACGATGCCAGCATTAGCGCACAACGCATCTATTCTCCCATAGCGATTCCACACCTTTTGGAACATCTGGGCCTGACTTCTTCAGTCAGCACTCGTGTCAGTCAACCTGGAAATGTGGCACACCTATCATAATCGGCCACATTGCACTTGTGGAAACTGGCAGCACCGCCTAGTTCTTCAGCAAGCTCACTGTTCTCTTGAATATCCGCAATGGCTACCTTCCATCCCTTCTCTACAAGCCCCCTGGCTATTCCCATCCCCATGCCACTGTTACCCCCTGTAACAATGGCGACTCGGTGTTCATTACCCATGTCTTGTCAAGGTACGTGGCTTGGTAGAATAGTTCGGAAAGGGAACCCTCGCTACAAGAAGGTTGCAATTTGAGGTCAACAACTCGATTACGAACGCATCAGTCTCCGCCTCTTTAATGTTACCGGGATTGGGGGCTCCGGTGAGGGGTTGGCAATGCGCGCTATTTCCCGGTTCGTTACTAGTGCCACTACACCCGGATTCCGGAGGGTCAGCTCTGCTGGCTTTGCGGCGCTCGTCTCTCATTAGTCAATCTGTGTATACAAGATATGTTAGTGCGATTCCCCTATTCCGTCCTTTGGGCTACCATTCCTAGATAAACCAACTTGCTTTGTTAGGTCTCGTTTTGACTATTGATCGAGTGACTATCACAGAGCTCTAGACAGAGTATTTCACAACGTAACCACCACCTTCGATCTTTCATAGAGTCAGATCTCTTTTTTTTATTTACAATATAGCATTCTTGCATCACTTTGATGATGTACACAATCTAACACCAGTACTTGTAATCACTGTCAACAAGGTCGGGAAAATGTTTTCCGTCAATCATCCGTTGGTAGTCGTTGAATTTCTTTTGTCATATACTGCAGGTATCCCCGATATTGCCCGGTTACAAAAAAAAAGCAAAAGCAAACTTCGTCTGCATGTTGTTCAACCTGGTAGGCGGGATATTTGTAATAAACATGAAGCAGTTCCTTCGAGCAGCGCAATGATCCCAAATTCTAATCTTCTGTTACATGTCACCACCCTGATGCCAGATCTCAACATGTCATATATTAGTACCCCGATTATGACGTCATGTTTAGTTTGCAGTTGATGAGTATTTAAAATGCCTCTCTTCACATAGCGCGGAAGCCAAGTATTGCGGGGGTGCGGAATCATTTCCTCGGCTGTTGCTGGGAGATTACACCGTAGGTGTAATGTCTGCAGCATTACAGGATCTACGAACCACGCGAATGAATATCAGCAAGGTAATCAGTGATCGTGATAGTAAAGGCATTCGCAAACAGAACGCTTACTGCAAAAAGGTAAGATCAATGTGGGTCAACAATCAAGGCACCTTTCCCAACAGTGTGATAACAATAACCCTGTCTTAACTGCCCAGCATTGCAACATTATGGATTACTTTGCAGAACCAATCGTTCATTGTAATCACGGCATCAATTGTCGCAACGCAGATCGTCATAAGTTGTTTCCAAAAAAAGAGTGAGTTCAGATCTTGGGGCGATGCGTGTAGTAATCAAGCGCTAATCCCAACTTGGGAATACACGTAGACGCGCGCCATTTCAATATGGACTCGCTCGATGCGGGATCGACCGGATCTGGGCGTCTAGAAGGGGGAGTACGGAGCAATTTCTGCGCCGAACCTTATACCAATTCAGGCCTTGTGTTGCGGCGGAGAAAAGTTGAAGCATGCATGTGTTCGACGGACTTTCTAATTGCTGACGGTGCATGCGATGACGTGAACCAGCACATGTTTCCTCTTGGGTCTACAGAACATTATTACCTAGGCGCGTCAGCACAAAATAATATTAATCAACTTCGGCTCTTGTGCACCACAATCAGTCCAGCCATCACTGCAATTTCAACACGGCTTGGAGTATTACGACTTTAGCTATGGCGACCAAATCACTCGTACGGCTTCCTGTTGCCGACAGATGGACACAGCTACTAACGGATCACGCAGTACCTCGTTGCGCTTGCCGTGATAGGACCGTATCTCTACGACCGCGGTGTAACGTTCTCAGGCATGCTGGCGAACCGGCCGGGGAAATTCGAGAACCTTAATCTGTTCAAAGAGCACCAAGTAAAGTTTGCCCAGCGGATGCGAAATTGCGAAGATGTCTTGATCGAGGAAGGTATGGGTGTTGCTTTGGTGAGCTGCAACCCAGGAAGAGACCAATGGAATACCGTCATGGTAAGGATAACCCCGGCAGGCAATCTCTCAAGGGGAAGGGCTGGCCAGACCATTCGAGTGGCCGATTCAAAATAGCCAGCTGATCTGAAAGTAACCTTAGGGCACATTTGCGCCGCCTCGCCCAAGGACAAACGACCAAGACGACGCACACATCTGGCTATACGACTACTCGACGCCCAACCTTCCCGATTCCGCCGCCCTCAAACCCCTCACCCTCGTCGACTACCCCAACCCCACCGACTTCCAGCCCTTAGGCATCGAACTCGACGCCCAAACCTCGACCCTCTACGTAATCAACCACTCGCGGCACTCAGGCAACACCCTCGACGTCTTCCAAATCTCACCTCAGAATGCCTCTGCACAATACATCAAGACGCTCACGCACCCCCTGCTGCACACCCCAAACTCGATCCACAGCCTCGGGGCCGGCAAGCTGCTCATGACAAACGACCACTACATCGGCGCACTGACATCCCCTCTGCTCTCCAAAATCGAGACTTTTTCCAGTCTCCCTGGCGGCAGTGTCGTCTACGTCGACACGCACGAGCCCGCGCGCAGCAAGAAGCTCGCGCATGTGGCGTTTGCGAATGGCATTACTATGCTCAACTCGACTACGGTGGCTGTGGCGTCGACGGCCAAAGCTGCCGTCTATCTCTACTCGTTTGATCGAGAGAATGTGGGCTTGACGCTGCTCAAGCAGATCCGCGTCCCCTTTATGGTAGACAACATTGCCGTGGATTCTGCCGGCAAGTTGCTCATGGCCGGGCACCCCTTTGCCCTCGGGCTCATGGTTGTGAGTAAGGCGAGAGCGAGGTGCGATGCCCAGGGTGGAGAGGAGGCGAGGAAGGCGTGTGACTGTACGACGTCGAGTTGGGCCGCCGAGTGGAGTGAGGCCGAGGGCGTCAAGACGTTGTATAAGAATGATGGGAGCGAGTTTTGTAGTAGTTCGACTTTTGCGAGGGATGCGAAGAGGAATGTTAGTATTGTTACCGGGTTGTATGATAGGGGGTTGTTGGTGGCGAGGGGATGACGGGGTTAAGGAAGATGGGCGTGATTTCAAGGACTTGTTCAGGTAGGTGGTTGGTATGCACGGCGTTGGTGCATACTGTGAAAGTCATGTCCGATTTTTTTTTCGGACTGTAGCTCATCTCGGTTTGCTGAGAGTTTGATGACGATGATGCTTGGTGGTTATGCAGTCACCAGCAGCCGCAGTCTGGGAGGGGAGTTTGTCCCTTAACATTAAACCGAAAAGGAGATGCATGGATGTAACGATTGGCTCAGTATCGAGACTCGAAATAGACCCCGAACAGCCAAAGGGCCGCTAAATTCTCCATGGCAAACCGCCACTACGTAACATCAAACCCTACATAGTCTCCCATTCTGAGTCTGCACACCCTGCTCGCCATCCTCGACCTTCCACCTCTCACTACCCACAGCAGTAGTAGCATAGAAAACATCGTTAGGATCCCACTTTCGCTTAATCTCGCTGAGTCTGGGGTAGTAGCCACCATAGAACGATTCCTGCCAGTCCTTCTCATCCACATGCGCTTCATTCAGGTACGTACCGCCGCCCTCGGAAACAGGCGAGATATCGCGCCAAGGCTGCAAGATATTCTTCTGAAGATCCTTGCTGGCGATGGCGAGAGCCTCCGGCGTAGAATGGTCCAGAGACTTGTTGGTCGATGTAACCATAAACATGCCGCACTCGCGCCACGCCGGATGCACTGCGTTGTTGGTGTTTGCGTACTTTTTCGGTGCCTTGTGGTACCCCAGGAGATGCTTGCCGGCAGAAACGTGCTCCTTGATGAGTGCGAATGTCTGGTTGAATTTCTCTTGGAAGTTGCGCTTGGGGATGATTCGGCTGCCTGCCATGGAGTCGTCTCGTCCGATGGGGAAGGGGTTTACTCCCCATGCGGCTTGGTAGGCTGAGTAGAATGAGCTATGTGCTTTGGCGACGTGGGGCTGGGTGAGGGTGATGTTCTTGGCGTCTAGGTAGTCGAAGAACGGCTTGACGACTTGGCTGTATGATTCCAAAGTGTGGTTCGGGGCGAAGATGTATCGTGCGCTGAGGAATGGAGCCGGAGTGTTGCCCATTATGAAAAAGGAATAGAGGCCTGCCTCGGCCCAGTCCAGGAAGAATTCGTAGTATTTCTCGATGCCGTCCCAGAATGCTTCAAGACTGTTATTGGTAGCGTCAAGGTAGAAGCTCGAACCGACCACGTTCAATTTGGGGTGTGCTCGAATGATGACTGACGTTACAATGGCGAATGTACCACCACCGCCACCTCTCAGTGCCCAGAAAAGATCTGGGTTTGATTCTTCTGACACCGTAATAAAGCGTCCATCGGCAGTAACGACTTGGAAAGCCACGACGTGATCAGCTGCCATGCCGTAGATGCCGGCTAACGGGTTTTGTCCTCCTCCTGTGATCATACCGCCAGCGTAACCGACACTCTGAAAATAGTCAGCATGCTATTCTAGGATCGTCGTTGTAATCACATACCCAGGATACAGCCCCCAGAACCGTCACGCCATGCTTTTCCGCAGCCTCGTACACATGCCTGACAAGAACACCAGCAGAGAGCTTCAAGGCGGGTCCTGCATAGCCAGGCCCTTCGTAATCTTGAATGAAGTCAATCTTGTTCATGTTGTGCATCCACAAACTGAGAGCACCGGCACCAGTCGACTTTCCCAAAAAGCAATGCCCCGTGTTTTTAATAATCAGGCGAAGATTGGCGGCTCTAGCAAAGTTGACAGCAAGCTGAATTTGTGCCACGTTTGTTACCTTCACTGAGTATTCTGGAAAGCCGCCCAGGGTACATGATTTACCGGTGGTATCGTTCTTTGGCATGCAAGTTCTGCCTTGGTAGATAGGCCACATGTCTACAAATCGCGAACCAGGTCAGTGAGAGATTGAAAATCTAGTTTGGATGATTTGGGCCTTACTGGAAGTTGGGTCGTCTGTATGAAAGTATGCGTTGGTCCAGTTTGTGGAAACATCTGCACACCGTGCGGGGTCTTTCTTTCCCCATGTAGAATCGTAGCATGATGCTGCAACTGGCTTGGTTGGAATCAATGCTCCACCGAGAAGAGCATTGAAGACATCCCAGACGGCTTTCTTAGGCCATGTTGGGTCTCCAGGAAAAGTCCTGCAAGCTGTAGAGGCAGCCCGTCGCACGTGTGCAGGGTTGGCAGCACTGCTGTTGTCGAATGCGAAGTACTCGGCATATTCAGCAGTAGCTTCGTCAGATGCAAGCCGGTCGATCACTGCATCAGTAAGCTGAAGAGTCTCAGCCTCTTGCAGCGCCGCGCCTGCTGGTGCAGTAACAGGAACTGAGGTGGCTGCTGGTTCGATATCAAGGGAGGGGGAGGATTGAGCCAGAATAACCGCTGGCGAGAGGGCCAAGATGATGCACGTGGCTACCCTGCGTGATGGTACCATGGCGAAGTGATCGAGATCTGAATACGATGTGATTGTGGTTGAGATGGGTGACAGAACAAAGGGCGCTTCACTATTTATCTGTCTCTTTTAACCGGTCGGCTACCATTTTCTCAAGGTGCTCGCATTGCAGGTAGATTTTTGAATCATGCACCGATACTCTAGACTCTGAAAACCCCTTCAGTGCACTACTAGTATGTTAGTATTGCCGAACGAGGGCAAAACGGCGAAGCGAAAGATGCAGCCTTGCGCAAGGCCCGTAGGAACAAAACAATGACAGGACGAAAGATAGCATAGCTTGCGGCATAGCATGCAAACAGGGAGTTGAGCTTTCAATTCCTTCGAAATGGGACTCATTTGCCACCACTGGTGGTAGTTGCTAATCCAATCAAGGTAGTCATCGCTGTAAGAACAGCACGTCTGAGGAGCAATGTGCATGCATTCATGCAGGCGCTGAATTTTTACCTGGCTTCCCGATGTAGCCTCACGACGCGAAATTATCCGCCCAAAGATCAACAGCTTGGCATACTGTATGTCGAAAGGCGTATGGCATGAGAAGCTGCAGTAGTGTGGCGCGGTTCTGAACACATGTTTCCTGGTTCTCAATCGTACGTACTAGTACCAAACGATGAGAGAGCCGGAGTAATCCTGGTCGGATCCAGACAACTTCATCAAGGTTCAATACCTCTGTGTTCTTATCATGATACCAATCGTAGTTGACGATTCTGAGCTGTATGTACATATGTAAGTGTAGGTATTTTGCTTCCCGAGGTAAGCAAGGTGTGTGGGGCTGGCGGAGCCTGGCACGGCACGCTTCGAGAGGTCCGGCCAGCCAAATTCTTGGCATAAACAGACATGCGAGAAGACCAGTTATCCGCTTCCATCACGCTGTGTAACTCTAGACGGCGGATACGATTGGAGGAGGTACTATGCAAGGGATGTGCGGCGCCCTCGTTAGCATCAACCCCGTGCTCACTTGCACAGTGCCGTCCTAGCTCAGAAGCCACCTTCTTAATAGGATGCTCATTCACGTACCAATCATGAATCCTCATACTCAGTGTTGACAGGCACCATTGTGAACTGAGAATTATTCGGTAGGATGGCAGGTTCTGTCTAACAATCACGACATCAAGAATGGATGAGATTTGAACTGGCGGTAACCTGATTTGACAACAGGCTGTGAAGACATATGTCAAACCCGTTGTGGCCCACAAAACGCTATGTCGCCACATGCCCCAGCTTAATGAGCATCAAAAAGAGCGTAATTATATTTGTGGCAGAATCAAAGGGATATCCGCTTGGAGAATCGCGACGTTGTGTGATCATCCCCGAACCACGACTCAAACCTCTGATCAAAGAAGGTCGACTTCGAAGTCGTGACTTTTACATGCCTCATAAGTACTTTGACTTCTATCGTCGCCACATGTTCATATTGCGTGTCTCAAATAGGCGATCCTCTTTCACACCCACTATCTGCACTATGACGGGGACTGGCCTTCAGCCCGCGAACCTCGTACTTACTGTCTTGCCTTTTTTGCTTTCCCTTTCTGTCGTGATTGTCAGAGTATGGAGAAAGATTAAGGAGAACAGATTCGCTATCGGTAAGACTCCTGTGCCTATCTCCTAAATCGAAAATTTGTTAATCAGCAAGCAATGTAGAAGATTGGCTTCTGATCATTGCAGAAACAATACTATGTGCACTCACATGTACCATGTGTAAATGTGCGTTAAGAAACTTCGTTTGAGGAGACCGTTAGTAACCTCTGTACCAGACATCATGGTATCATATTCTGGTTATCATGCAGAAGATATCCCAATAGGAGCCGTCAAACAAAACGACCTGCTTTTCGTGAGTCTCTGAAAGGAAACTAGTACCTTGAAAACAGCCTTTTAGACTGATGAAAATGACCCAGTGGCGCTACATTAACAACATCCTTTACAATCCTATTCTCGGACTGGTAAAAATCTCATTCTTAATCACACTCTTGAAACTACGTTCCTGCAACCGCTGGATAGTAGTAAGTCTCTGGACATTGATATCAGTAAACACTCTTTTCATAATACTTGCCGTATTTGGAGGCACCTTCAAATGCTGGCCAATTCAAAAGGCATGGGAAACATCTATCCCCGGCTATTGCCCTCCTAGAGCCCCATACATCTTCGGTACCATCGGCACGACCATCGCAACAGACTTTCTTGTTGCTTTGATACCCGCATGGATCATTCACGATCTCCAGATGCCACTGAAGAACAAATTGGCTGTAGTAATGTTCCTATCTCTTCCACTGGCAGTGACGGCAATTGGCTGCTGGCGCCTGCAGACGTTCATTGCAGTTTTCAGCTTGCCCAAGGGCACCAGCGAAGACCCTTACAATCTCCGGAATGCATTGACGAACATTGAGGGCAACCTTGGGGTTATCGCTGCTTGCGGACCTACGCTCAAATGGATCTTAGTGCGTGACTTTAGATATATTGTTCTTCAGGGACTACACTAACCAGACGTCAGGGTTGTTTCATTCCCTACTTCAATACTTCTCTTAGGGCGCGTGGATACACGCTAAACTCACTGGCCAGCCGCCAACATCGTGTGCGAGGGTATCTGCAAAGCCACGGCGATATAGAGTTGCGAACAGATGTCCTCGTTGGTTCATATACACAAAGCACCAAAAATATGTCCTGGAAAGTATGTAGAGATACAGGAGGTGCAAACAAATGGTATACTCTCGACGCAGAAAAGGGCATCAAGAAAACTACAACAGTAGAATTGGAATGTGAGCTGCTAGACATGAAGCCGGGGCAGGAACCGAAGAGACCCGAACCAACATTACTCTAAAATAGAGAGTCGCAATGTTAAATCAGGAGAGACACGGCAAATACTGTCGGCTTGTAAGTAAGGCCAAGAGCCTTACGTAATGATACCTACTATGTTGCTGAGCAAGTCGCGTGAAACGCCAGATACAAGAGAAGTACTTCAATCTACCGCACGATTGTGCAAATATGCAGCATTATCGTCGTCCTTCCCACCGGAATCCAGTGTCGACAATGAATACTGGGAGTAATAGTGGGACGACGAGGTTTTGTGTAAAGACCAGATATCAGCCTCCTTGGATTGTTGCTGACTTTTGTTACGACAACCCCCCAGTTTCGCCCAGACAGGCAAAGCGTGAGGATGGCTGGTGGTGTGGGGCTAGTAGCTTCCGCCCCGGTGACATCCACACCTCCCGCTACCAAGTTCCAGCCAGGTCACGAGGCGGAAACATGACGCCGTAAAGCACCCTTTTTTTGTGCGATTTACATGCCGCATCGAGACATAAGTCCGCCAACGGTTTCCGAAATTACTTTGCGAGCGACGGGACCCGATGGCATGGAAATGTCTCCACTGAAGCGTCCAAGCGACGATGCGGACCATGAGGATGGGCGACGGCCTGCTCCACGCACGCCGAGGATTAGAGCTTGTGAGTCGAAACGAGTCCCCGACGACCCACACAAACATTTATGTCAAGTCAGCTGCCTTCGATCTTTATTTTTGGACTTACAATGGACAACAGGTGCAGAGTGCAAGAGACACAAGATCAAATGCGAGCCAGTGGACAATGAGACAAAATGCGCAAAATGTCTGAGAAGCGGCACCGAATGCGTGCCGTATAACATGAACCAGCGCATTCTCGATGAAGATGCTGCGTAAATACACCCAGAAGAAAAACTCTGCATGAGGAGCATTTAAAGAGAACAGGAAGCTAATCGATTGTTTCGCAGTTGGAAAGCAAAAGCGTCTGCTGAAATGGCACGCATGCGCGCAGCGGTACAGCGTCTCCTTGCGCACAATAAACTCCCAGGCCTGGATAGCCCGCCAGCAGAATCGCCTCAGCCGCCATCGGGACAGACTGTGACTGTGACGCCGACTAATGTCATATCAGAGAGCGGCCACACTACGCTGTTGGTCCCGCCTCTGATGGACATGACGCGTGACAACTCCGTCGAACGCGATTCCGGCGAAGAGTCTGGCTTGGTGACGGCGCCCATGAGAAGTCTGTACGACCTGACGCGGATCCGGAACCTTCGGAGCAGCGCACGATGGAAGCCCAACTCTAATTCTGTAGACGAGGATTTCATAGCTCAAGGTGTCGTATCTCTGCGGGAAGCTGAAGAGTTGTTCCAGCGATACATGCAAGATATGCGGTTGTATCTATGGGCTGGCGTGCTGTTTCCATACGACTCACTAAGTGCAGTGCGGCGCCACTCAACGCTGCTAACAGCAGCTGTCCTGACGATATCGGCGCTGCATACGCCAGGCCAGGATGAAGCACTACAAAAGTGCTACGGCATCTTTGTATCGCTAGTTTACAGTGCTACGCTCGCGCGGCCGCAGAATCTTGACGACATACGTGCCTTGGCGCTTGCCGCATTCTACGTCCCAAACCTAAGCTGGAAACTCGCCGGAATTGCAATTAGGAATGCAGTAGAAATGAATCTGCACATGTCTTACCAGAAGCTTATGCGGGGCCATGAGGATCAGCGAGATAACGTCAGGCTGTGGCTTGCACTGTATGTGTGTGACCACCAATTCAGTATCGCGTATGGACGCCCTTCAATGGTGCACGACGACGTTGCAGTCAAAAATATTGAACGGTTCCTTGACAGTCCCAAGACCACACCTGGCGATATCAGGCTCGGAGCTCAAGTCACGCTCTTCAAGATTCTAACCGAAGCCTACATTGTCTATGGCAGCGACCCGGAGCAACCGCTTACAGAACCCGACTTCCAGCAACTCCGCCTCTTCAACTTCGCCATTGAGCAGTGGCGCCTAGCATGGCAAGCAAAATCCGCAGATAGTCCCGCAATAGGCTCATACCCCTCAAAAGGAGTAGTCCTATACTACCACTTCGCCCGCTTCCAACTAAACTCCCTCGCGCTGCGAGCCCTTCCCCCTCCCAACGCTACAACTTCAGAGTCCCTCTCATACGACCGCCGCGAAGCCGCCAACATCGCCATAACCGCAGCCACAAGCACCCTGACTCTCATCTTCGAAGAACCAGACCTCCGCCGCGCCATGACCGCCGTCCCCATCTTCACCCACACCATGCTCGCCTTCAGCGCCACCTTCCTCCTCAAAATCGCAAAAACCTGGGGCGGCGTCGCCCAAGCCCAGTCTCCCGAATGGGCCACCGAGCCCCTGGGTCTCGGCTTGAATTTCAACATCAATCAAGTCCTCTCACTATCCCGCCGCTCCGCCTCTTTCCTGGCAAAAGTAGCTGACACGCTGAACAAGAAACACATCACACAGCATATCGTACAGGGTATTAACGATTTACTGAAACGCATTGATGTTGCGGCGGGGACCCCCTCGGCGAATACGTCGCACAATTTCACGGCGCCGTCGCCGGCTACGTCGCAGATCTTCGATCCGGTCAAGGCGGCTACGCAGAGCCATGAAGTCAGTGTTGATCCGGTAAACGAGTACAACATGTATGACTTGATTGGGTCGTATGGATTTGGCTTTGACGAGACGTTTTTAGGCCAAGGGGCACCGACGAATATGGGGTTTTGGCAAACGGAGCATTTTTGAAATCTTCTTTTCTTCTTTTGGTGGTTGAGATCTTGGTTTACGTATAGTGATTTTTGTAATGCTTTTTTGTGACAGGTTGAAATATTTTCATGATATACATTCGCCTATATTTTGGCTGTGGGGTTACTCTTCTCCTCCTCATCCTTGTTCCTTTTTTCTAACTAGATTGCTCCATGCGGCGCCATAGGCCTAGGAAGCCGCCCCCGATTACTTGCTGACCGACTTTGGGACGACATACCATGGCCCATTTTTCTTCTTCCTCCTTACCCTTGTTTAGAGCTGCTTCGAGCTCACCATCTCTGGCGGCTTGCTCGGTTTCCGAGTCTTGACTTCTATTGCCTGATGGTGCTGAGGTCTGCTCTGTACTTGACTTTTGTAGAGTTGCTCTTGGCTTGACGGCGCGGACATCCCATTCGCGAACTGTCCCTGCACCAAGCTCGACAACTTGTTCGAGCAGATATGGCATCTTTTGCTCGCGGATTGCTTCGACACACTCAGCAATTTGGGTTATGCTGGGATTGAAAACGGCGAGTAGGCCGTTGACGTGCAGAACAGGGGCGACATTCGGAAGGTGGTGAGTTGGATTAGGAAGGTCGAGAAAGACGTGGCTCAGGAAGGGTTGCTGAGTTCTTCTTGCCGCTCTCTGCTTGGAGATCCAGTCGGATACGTCTCCAACGTGAAAGTCAACGTTTGCTGCATACATGCCGTGGCGGAAGCCTTCAACAATCTTCTTTGCATGCTGAGAATACTTGGGAGATATATCAAGCGTGTGTAGGATGGCGCGCCGACTTTGCTTCCACGATTCTAAATACGAGTGCTGTAGATCACTCACAGACTCGCCGAGATAGACGGCGTCTTCTGGGCCGTCTTCACTGCCACTATAAGCGGGCGCTCTCGGAATTGGGGGATTCGCAGCATGTATGGCTCGCGAAAGGTGGAGGGTTAAGGCTCCATGTCCGGTACCAGCTTCGAGTATTTCAAGCGGCGGGTCGGTGTTTAAGCCCGCAGAGGGCCTGTCAACGTTGATGTCGAACAGGGAGACGATGAGGTTGGCATCGGAGGGGTAGATCTAGGCGCATTGGCATCGGAGAAACAGGTTGGGTCTTTTAAAGTGAGGGGCACACACCGGAGTGACAAGACGGGGTGTAAGCCTAACGTATTCGGCCAGTGTAGGATCATGGATGCGATATGAGGCGCCTTTGCTGGATTGGATTATCTGACGCGGCTGCCTGCCAATTATGTCGGCATGCTGGACGATGCCCAAATGCGTGCCCGTAGATTTTGAGGCTTGTAGCTTGACAAGACGGCCATCGTGGGTATCCTTCTTCTCGCGCAAAAGCACCAGGTCGCCTTCTGCGCAATTGTGAGCGGCGTCGGGTCCGAGTGGCCAGAGGTCTTGCCTTTGAACGTGCGACGCAAGCCAGAGCCACTTGTAAAGTAGCGAGCAGGCGTTTTCAAGGGAAGACGTTGTAGGAGGTGGAGGGGGGAATGGCGCATGGCTTTGTGCAAGAAGAAAGGTGCAGATGCGGCGCGGAGGTGAGGTCTTCTCCGCAATACCACTACTACCAAGCGAGACATGAATTCAGTGGCGCCCAGCATGTGTGACTAGGAAGATGCTTGCTTAGCTTTGGTGCATCATACAGAAATGTACTACATATGTATTTTTGGTCTGATATGCTTAATTTGCTGGCAATGTTCTACCAAAAGTCATTCGTGTATGTACCCGGTGCAGGCTCTTGGAATCGCCAGCCATGCTGGCCCCCCCTGCCATGCCATTGACCATCCCGAGACTGCATCCTAGCAGCCTAGAGCCAAGCACCGTTGCCCGCATCCCACTCTCACCCACCAACACATCGCCTCACCCAACTTGTTCGCCTGCGCATGCGCCTCTCCTCCTATATTTGTGGTTCAACATATCCGAAAAAAAAGGCGCTGTACCATGGACATGAGTCCGACCTGCTGCCAAGCAACCCTCTCCTAGACACATCTCTGGCTTCATGACCATTCACTCGCACCCTCGACGGCCTCCACCATGACGCGCCGAATAGTAGGTACACCAACACAGCGCCACTTTGCGACCTGCTCACCATCATAGGTCCGCACGGGCATCCAGCTCGTTGCCCTCACCATCCTCCTTTCCATTACAGTCTTCTTCCTCGACAACCGCTACCGAGTCCTCCCCCAGTCCGTCCACAGCCACCTGCCTCTCCACCATGATGGCCTCGTCATAACCGATATTACCGTGCAGACCTGCTCGACAATCAACCCACTATCCAAGTGCATGCTCGACCAAAAGATATGGCATCGCATAGAAAAGGATCTCTACCTCAACAAGGGTTGGGTTGGCAGGGCATATGTACACGTCAAGCGGAAGAGGGAAGAGGAACTAGGCGCCGAAGACAAGGTCATAATCGATGTTCGCACAGGCAAACTTGACCCGTCCATTGGCGAAAAGGCGCAAGCATCTGAAAAATGGGAGTCTAGACCGGCAGGCGTCTGGATCAAGAAATCACTCAAGCGCCATGCCAGCGACTCCAAAAAGGCCGTAACAGCCGTCGACATCTTGTTTGGCGCCGATGCCGTAGAGCCTCGACCTGGCTGGGCCTTGGTCAAGAATGGTCCTCTGCACTTGGACAGCAGCAAGGACAGTGCAGAGCCACGCCTCACCATACGGCGCGGTCGAGCCGTCAAGCTTGAGAAGCCAATACCAAAGATTAGGAAGGATGGCAAATTCAAGATTATGCAGATATCCGACTTGCACCTCAGCACTGGTCTCGGCAAGTGCAGAGACGAAGAGCCCAAAGGCGCAAATGGCGGACACTGCGATGCTGACCCTAGAACAATTGAGTTTGTCGAGAGAGTGCTCGACGACGAGAAGCCTGACATGGTTGTCTTGTCTGGCGACCAGATCAATGGAGACACGGCCCCAGATGTTCAAAGCGTGAGATAGTTTCCCTACTATACTCATCGTGTGCAATACTGACACTGCTGCAGGCCATGTTCAAGATTGTGGATCCCCTTGCTGAGCGCAAGATACCGTACGCCGCCATCTTCGGTAACCACGACGATGAAGGCACTCTCTCGCGCCATGCACAAATGGATCTCTACGACTCTCTACCCTATTCCGTCAGCGAACCAGGCACCAACACGATTGACGGCGTCGGCAACTACTTTGTCGAAATCCAAGCGCACAGCAGCAAGCACTCGGCCCTAACCCTCTGGTTCCTCGACACACACTCGTATTCGCCCGACGAAACGCACTACCGAGGCTACGACTGGATCAAGCCCAATCAAATCGAATGGTTCAAAACCACGGCCGAAAGCCTCAAAGAAGCGCACCGCCACTACACGCACAAGCACCTCGACATGGCTTTTATCCACATCCCCTTGCCCGAATACGGCGACCGCGACAACGACCGCGTCGGCAACTGGACCGAACCCATTACCGCTCCAGCATTCAACACACACTTCAAGGACGCCCTCGTCGAATTCAACATCAAATCCGTCTCGTGCGGCCACGACCACGTCAACGACTACTGCTCCCTCGCAAAGGACCCCACGACGGGCGAACCCCAAATCTGGATGTGCTATGCCGGTGGCAGTGGGTTTGGTGGCTACGGCGGCTACAATCACTTCCACCGCCGTCTCCGCGTGTTTGAAATCGATACGAATCAAGCGCGCATTGTGACGTGGAAGCGCCTCGAGTATGGCGATTTGGACAAGAAGCTGGATTTGCAGATTATTGTGGATTCAGGACGCGTTATGCCGATTCAGGTGGGGAATCAAGAGTAAGTGAGTGAGTGGTATTGTCATTGTTATCTCTCTCTTTTTTTCTTTCCTCTTTTTCTTCTTCTTCTTCTCTTGAGAAAATGGAACGACTAGGGAGGTGTTTGGGCGTGGATGGGGAGGGGGGAATGTTCATACATGGCTTGAATTTTGCATTTGTGAGAAATGGATTCAAAATGTGACTTTTTTTCTACTTTTCTTCTCTTCTTTTTCTTTGACGGGACGAGAATGTAATGTCTTTGTTTATACAATGATGTTCGTATTTGAGGTGTTTAGTTGGGATGAATGTAACACGGGACGGATGAATGGCAAAGGAGAGAGAAGGAGAGAGAGAGAGATGGACTCAGATATTGCGTAATCACCACTCTCATCATCAACACAATTCAAAGATGAATCACACAAACAGTTCAAGTTTATTTATCAAATTTCTTCATTTTGATTCTTCAATCTTCAACATCATTGTCATTGTCATGCTTATGTAGAGCGAACAATTATGCCTCTACAGTAATTCTAATCTGCGCAATCCCTTTTCCTCTTCATTTACAAGAAAGAGAAAAAGAAAACACACACACACACACACACACATCATACCCTCGGTTTAGTCTTCATCCACTTACGAGACCTGGACGAACTGACCCATGGCAGGGACACCGTCAACGAGGACGTAGATGACATAAGGACCGGCAGGAGCAACGGCCTTGTTGGGGGGCATGGTGACGGTGATGCTCTGGGCAGTGGCGCCGGCCTTGAAGCCGGTGTTGTCAAGGAAGGCCATGCGGTGACCCATGTGCAGAGAGTGGGTAACGAATCCACCGTAGTAGAGGGTGACCTTGACTTCCTTGGCGTTGGCGGGAGCAGTGAACTTGATGTTGAAGGTAGTGTTGACCTTGAGCTGCTTGCTGGAGATCTGGACGTCGGAAGGACGGGTAGGGTTGCCCTGGAGGTAAGGAGGAGTGTAGATCTCGTTGCGGAACTCGGTGACGTAAGGGTTCTGAGCATCAGGCGTGAGGATGGGCTGCTCAACGGGGTTGGAACCAGAGATGAGCAGAGTACCGTCAAGGAGGAGAAGGGCAACACTGTGGTAGAGACGAGCAATGGTGGACTTGGGGCCGGTGGTGAAGCGCTTGCCCTTGGGTTGGTTGGGGTCGTAGAGAAGGACCTCAAGAGCGGGATCGCGAGCAACACCGAAACCCTGGGCACCCTCCTGAGCACCGTTGACCCAGACGACGGTACCGTCGGGAAGAAGAGTACCTTCAACCATACCACGGCCCTCGGGCATAGAGTCCATCTCCCACTGTGGGTTGGCATCAAGAGGCCTGATGCGGCCGCAGGAAGCATCACAAGGAGCAGTAATGTCTTGGTAAGGACCGCCACCGCAGATGATGATATCAGCCTCCCAGTTGTTGGCGCTGGACAGAGGAAGCATGACGGATCCACCAGTGTTGGGGTAGGTGCGGTAGGTACCGGGAAGGTCGGGCATGGTGCGGACAACGGTGCCAGTCTCGACCTTGAAGATCTCAGCGGACTTGGAGACGGCGACGAAAAGGTTGCCATCCTTGAGCAAGTGCATGAAGGGGTACATGTAGTAGGGCTGGTTCTTGCTGAGAATCTCCATGTTGTAGCTCGTGCCACGAGGAGTACCGTCGGCATTCAGGATCTCGTAGGTAGGGTTGTTGTTCTCGGGCTTGCTGGGGTCGAGACCGTTCTTGGAGCCAGATGCGACGAAGATGGTGTCGTCGGGCATGATCTGGACGGAGGCGTACCAGCGGGGAGTGTCGAGAAGCTGGCCAGGCTCGTCCCAGGCCTTTCCGTTCATGGAAGCATCAGTCGAGGAGCGCTCGAGGAAACGGATACCCTTGAAACCGTCGCCAACAGTAGGGTCAATGAAGCTGAGAGGAGCGTTTCCACCGAGGGAGACGAAGCGGCCGTCAGCAAGGAAGATGCCACCAGAGCAGAAGGCATTGGTCTTGTAGGCAAGGGGAACCAAATCGCCGGTGACGGGGTCCCACTCGGAGGAGTAGGCATACTGGCCGTTGGGAAGCTTGAGCTCAGTGTAGTTCTCGACCTTGTCAAGGAAGACAACACGACCGTTGGGCATGAGACCAGCGTGCATAGCAGGGACACCGGATCGGCCCTTGAGGGCGATGCTTCCAGGCTTAGCAGCAGCAGGGGCCGGGCTGGCACTGGGGGCGGGGACAGTAGGGGCTTGGTCGCAAGGACCGCTCTGGCAACCTTCACCGCAGTGGGCGGTTGTGTTACCACAGTAGCCGTACATGCTGCAGCAGCTGCCCTGGGCCCAGTCTCCGCAAACAGTGTTGCCAAAATTGGCACCGCAGCTTCCATCAGTAGTGGGGATTCCAGTGGGGTTGCTGGGGGTGGTTGGCTTTCCTAGTACAGGCTCGCCAGAGGTGGTGGTCGAAGGAGGGCGGGTAGCGGTGGCGGCAGTAGGCTGGGGATTGTTTTGAGGAGTACCGTCGCTGCAACCATTCTGGCAGCCATTGGCCTTGAGGCAGTGGGCGTCAGTGCTACCGCAGTATCCGTACTCAGAGCAGCAGCCACCGTAAGCGCCCTTGGCATCGCAGGTAGCGCCGCCAAAGTCCTTTCCACAGCGGCCGTCGTCCCTGGCGCCAGTGTTGCCAGAAGTGGCAGCAGTAGAAGCCGTGGGGGTGTTGTCGCAACCAGATTGGCAGCCGGTTGAGCAGTGGGCTGGGGTGTTGCCACACCAGCCGTACTGGGAGCAACAAGTGCCCGTGTAGACTGTGCTGTTGGGGTCGCAGAGCAAGTTGCCGTTTTGAGGACCGCACTTGCCATCCTGGGAGTACTTGCTGTTTTGCCTCTTGGTAGGAGTGAAAAGCAAGCTAGAGCGGGATACGACCTTGGAGTAGGGGCTAGCATCATCTGGAACACAACTGCAAGGCGTTAGAAGGGGCGTCGATGGGACGAGTGAATGAATGAATAGATAAACTCACGTGTTGTTCTCAATGCAGTGCTGGCCCGTCAAGCAAGGAGTATGGACGGAGGGGTCAGTGTAGTTGCAGGTGGGGTTGACCCAGAAGAAGTTGATGTTGGCCGAGGCCGCACCAACGAGCAGGCCAAGGCCGTAAACCGAAGACCTCATGGTTGTGACTAGGCTAGAAGAGCGCGTGTAAGCCAATGCACGATCAAGTAATTAGGAGGTCATGGGGATGTTGGTGACAAAGAACCAATGCAGAAACTATTGAATCGCATGCACTGCATGAGGGGCCGTGCTGTAGTGGTTCGGGATGGATAGGGTAGTGGTCATGTGTGTGTGTGTGTGTGTTTGATCAGAAGACATGTGGTCTTGAAAACACACACACGCATGACTTGCTTGGAATGAAACACAAATGCCCGACGACACCAAGCAGGTTCTGATGTGCGAGGAAGTCGGGGAGGACAGGCAACGAACATGTTTTGTGTACGGGGGCGGGAGGGAGGGAGGTGTGAAAAGAAAGCACTTACATCAAAGCAGTCGAGAGGAATTAACAATTATTAAGGGGATATTGGTCCCGGGACTGGTAGGATACAGGAGCGGATGCTGGAAACGAGTGACAGCTATCCTGGGGGAACGAATGTGGTTGACAAACGAAGGACGAGGTGGTCGGGTTTGTAGGCGGGCGGCCGTGGGCTCAAGTAGCTGTGGAGGAAACGGGATATACGAGGCCAGGTGAGCTAGGTTAGTCATGGGCTCGGCCGCGAATGAGCCCCGGTCGGGCAACGACAGACAGTAGCGGCCATCTGGAGGCGCGGGCCAATGACGGTATGGATGCAAGGTTGCCGTGCAGCCTTAAGGGGCCTGCGTCGTGGTTGGATCATGGCGGGGAGTGGGCGTGTGGGTGTTCTATTTCTGGGCGCAGGGATTGGCTGACGACGCCCACCGCGACGGAAAGCGGCAGCTGCTGGGCCGGGCAGACGACGGTCCTGTGGGGGAGAGTAAGCAGCTCGTGAGATGGGTAGTATACACGCGACTGGCTTGTCCTGCATGGACAATAGTAACAACAACAACCACCACCACCACCACCACCACCACCACAATACTCGTTTAGCGGGCCCAGCGCTGAGCGGGCAAGGCTGTGTGTGTGTATGTGTTCGGCTGCAACGGCTCACGGGCTCTGCGCTGTCACCAAGCCGGTCGGCTGCACTCAAGCCTTTCGCTTCCTAGCTAAGCTTCACACGCATGCAGGATGCAACTGCAGAAATTGCGCCCTGGGCCAATCACATGACCCGCCTCGCCACTGCCGCTTCCCCTTTGGGACTAGCCCTCCCATCCTGCCCCTGACCGGAGGAAACTTGCGACCAACTCCAAGCCTCCAAGACTTTGTACCTCCTGTCCGCATGCTCACTGACGTGCGGTAGTCCCATTGGCTTCGGCGCCCACATGCACTGCCCTGGAGCAAGCCAGCAGTACTTGCAATTTGACTACTACGCCCTGCCAGGTGCCGGCCGGTCAAGTGCTGTCCTGCGCTGTCCTGCTATCCTCCACCTCCGCCAATTGCCCGATTCCAGCATGAAGCACGACAACAACTCCGGCTAGTGGCCCGAGCGTATCAAAATACAATAGTCTCGTGCGGCAGGCCCTATAAGCTTAGGGACATGCGCCGCCTTCACCCGTCGGGCGATCGTGTCAGCACCATGATGCAAAGCCGGGCAGCCTCGCGAGTGGCATCAGATGAAACTTCGTACCTGGGAAATTGCCCTTGGGGCCGCAAATTCCAACATGCAAACAATACACGCCTTGCCAAGTCTGGCCACCTGCCAGCCCCACAGCTGTTTGATCTGTCCAGCCCTTTTGTGATTTCCCTCCATGCTCGCTCGACACATGGAAATTTGGCCGATGCCCCAGAAAGCCCGAGGAGATGCTTCGGTGACGCTTCCATGGCGCCCTGCAGGCACTCCCCCCGTACTTCTTGCCCTGGGTTCGTGCTTTCGCCCACTTGGCTACTTCCTGTTCAGTCACCTGATTCCCGCCTGACAAAATAGTCTGCTTCTTCTCTTTCTCTCCCTCTCCTCTCCTGTCTTGCACTACACATCTAGCAATACTGTACATGACTACAAACACACCTGCCCCGTGCTCCCTTCCCTCACCATGCCAAACTATGGCAGCCACCCAGCTTACCATCGGCCCGCAGTCGACCACCCGTCCGTCCACCAAAATCCCGCTTACACCAGCCTCTTTTTTTGAAACCCCTCAAAGCATTTTAGGCGTCTGACTCCCCCACC